ATCATTTTTAGTACAACACCAACCTGATGGATACCACTTTCATGAGCAAAAGCATTAGCCCCAACAATGGCCTTGTGTGGTTGCACATGCAGTCCACTGTACTCTTCTACCTAGATAAATTATCCATTAATTAATAATCACAATACAAACAATTTAATTAAGGGAAATACTGATATTAAAAGTTGCAAAAGCAGTCCTAGAAACATAACCATCTTGCTTGACATAACAATTTGTTGTGTATTGATCCCGGTATAAAGGCTTCCTAACACTTGTTCTCCACGGCATTTAAGGGCCATGGCAACCTACATTGGAAAGAAAAGCAAGCAGCACATTAGATCGATATAGAAATTTCAAGGTGAAAAGAATCCTTAAAAAAATCTAAGAAAATTAAGTTGAGTAACATCCTTAAAGGAAAACTTGTTAAATTGAATACATGATTTATATTTGCTAAAATGGTTATAATGGCACCCAATACCAGAAATAATAACATTCATGATGTAGAAAATTTTCAATTTATGTATTATTTGCATTTTCTTAATGAGAAGTACAAGACAGAAAGCAAAAATATACATTACAAGTATGAGAGGGAAAATAGAATATACAGCTTCACCACTTATCCATCAACCAGACATGTCCATCAAAGGGCTTAACAAGATGTAATCCTAGTTTTGTAGATGTAACCCAAAAATTTTAATGTTTTTGATATTTCATGGGTGTTTCAATTGCAATAAAGTATCCATGTTGAAGATGCTATCCTATATAACTTTTTAGGGCATAGAAATAATTGTGGAAGATTCCATGATTCATTTATATCTTTGTTTGAAAATTTGGGCAGTATGAGGATGAAAAACATAGACACATACTATAACTGACACATGCCTAAGCCTAAAAGGATACATGACCAGTGACCTTGAAAAATGGAAGCACGACAAGTGACACAAATAACAAATCTTATCCCACAAGACTCCTATATCCTCAAACTTATCCTCAAAATTCTTGCATTTCCTTCCAACCAAATGACCCAAAGCACGACAAGTAACACAATTCCAAAGTACTCAAGCTTTCCTGTTGAAGCCAAAACCTCTATTGTCAATAAAGAACATCCAAACACATCAAGCTGGAACTACACATTCAACCTCCACCAACTAAAACAATCCATTCCATAATGTCGTAGCCATGGGCCAGTGCAAAAATAAATTATGAATACTTTCCTCAATCCTCTTACACAATACAATATAGTAGAAGTAAATAACATTAGTTACTCACAAAGTTTTTAAAGGTTAGTGCACAAAGCGAGGCATTTTACCCCTCAACACGGAGGTGTTGAAGCCTTTTGAGTTTTGAATTTTTATATTTTAATAAAATATAAAATTAATTAAAAATAGCATAAAAAGAGTTTAGAAAATAGGAATAGCAAAGAAAATTCATAAAAACCATTCCAAGCATAGAACATAATGAAATGATAAATCCAAACATTATAAGAGTATTCTAAGCATAGAAACATAGTGAATTGTAAAAACCAGACATAGACAACAAGTAAATATTATTACAGCCGATTCCAAAATAACAATGCACACCTAATAGCAACCAAAGCAAGAAAGCAAAACTAGCACAAGTTAACAATGCCTAGCTTAACTTATTATAACCTATTACAATAGAATTGACAAAAAAAGAACAAAAAAGAAAAGATCAGAAGAGAATTCGAGACCAGTGCTTTGTAAATCGAAGCCTTACTCGAATCAGCAACTTGAACCCTAGGTTTGCTTCTTTTTTTTATTGGCTTCCTTCCTCATGAAAACCCTTGCTTACATGAAAACCCCTTATAAGTCTAATGTGACAGTTTATTTCCCGCTTATCTAATCCACCATTTACTAGAATTTTTAAAATTTTGTACAACCTAGCTTATGATTAGTACACCTTTCCAATCGAAAAGGAGTGAAATGCATAAAAGGCACACCTAAGATGAACACCTTACCGAAAATAGATACACATAATTGCTACCACACTTAAACACATTTGTGCATCTTTCGTGAGCCTCGCAAGGTGCAGTTTAGAAATGCCTCAAAAGACTTTGGTCACTCATACACCAACTGAATTTAGGTTAGCAAACAAATCTTGCAAAAGGAAATTCAATAGGCAAACGAAAAGCAACCAAAAAATATCCTTGCTCCCTACTTTGTCATCAAAAACAAAAACCACAAAATGGGACGATGGAGACAAAGCTGTAGAGAAGAGGGCGGAGGCGTGAGTGAGATAGAGAGAGAGAGAAAGAGGGAAACGGAGAGGCCTCTATGAGAATGAGACTATCTTCGAGAGGGAGATACAGAGAGATAGAGAGAGAGAGAGAGCGAGAGAGAGAGAGGACATACCTGGGAGGGAGTTCGGGGGATGATCCAGATATTTGCAGTGATGGCGATGGAAACAGAGCAGAATCAGACGAGGGAGTGCGAGAGTGAGGGAAATGGACTGCTTTGGCAATAAAAATAAAACAAACAAATAATTATTCCTGACCAAAATAAATTTTCGTCGCTAATAAATTTAAGAAAAATGTAATATTCCCTCCAAAATTTTGTGGCACGTTTAGCTACCGAATTATAGTCGGTATATAATTAATCATTAGCGGCCAAAATTGAAATAGTCGCCCAAACCCAAAATTTCCATGACCATTGTACAATTAGTAGCCAAAAATTAAATAAATACGAATTAAACAAATTATATAGTTATTTTTCGCAACGAACATCATATTTAGTCGCCGAAAATTACATTTTTAACGACTAAAATGTAGTTAGTCGCCAAAAGTGAAGACAAATTCCGACTACACATTATTTTGGTAGCGAAATAGGGGACATTTACCGACCAACAAACTTTAGTAGCTAATAATTGAACATTTGGCGACCAAATGTTGTTTGGTAGCTAATGTGTGAACCATTGGCGACTGACTAATTTTTAGTAGCTAATACGTAATCCTTTGGCGACTAAATTTAGTTTAATCGGCAAAATTAGCCGCCGAATCTGTTTTTTTGTTGTAGTGACTGAAATATATGTTAGTGGTAAGTTTATTACATTAATATTATATTAATAAGAATAATATTAATACAATATGATATGATATTTTCATTCTAAGAAGTTGTTTGAGATGTATTAAAAAAATGTATTTATTTATTTATTTATTTTTTGAGTCATCACCTTTCTATTCTTCTGCACAGTTTTCAAAAAAAAATTAAAATATATACTTATTTAGATTATTCTAAATAATATCTATATATGTATTATAATATATAATAATAGTAATTACGTGGTGTTTCTTAAAGGAGAGTCCACGGCGCCATCAATGCCCTACAAAATAATAATCAAAATGGTAAACCCATTGTTAATTCAAACATGCACGGCTTGGTCCAGCTCTTATTCTTGGATAATTATTCATTAATTTCTTAGCATTATATGACATGGACGTGGCTGGAGAGGAGAGTTTGGCATTGGTGGGTTTAAATTCGGGCGCATGTCGATAATTTAAACCGTCAAAGAATAGAACCCGATGAGTAAATTATTCTTGTAAAAAATCATATTAATTGGATATCGATAACTATTTGATCACATAGCATTTTCAAATATATAACAATGGGTTATCAATATCCAAATATATTGTTAGAATAATGCTAATCCATATTTGTTAGTTACTTGAATGACAAACGATGATTCACTTAGTAATGTTTTTAATAATTTTTCATTGATCAGAAAACACTATATAAACAATGTCAGATACTGTTACACTACTTTTATTGTAACTTATTTAGAATTCGTACACAAAAATTTACTGACATTGTGACATTGTGTGCTCCATTTTTAATTTTTGTATGATGTCCATACCTAGTTTAATATCGACACACATTAATTTTATAAGTAAAATTTTTTTGGTACGAATTTTGAATCCATGTGGTACTGTTCAAATAACTTATTATTTGACCGCAACTAGTTGAAACTAATGCACCCACTTAGAGTCAACACCATCTTGGTCACCCAATGTTCCTTGGATCACACAACACAAAAACAAACCCATGAGAAATACCATATTCATTACTCCTAAGTTTAGATTAAGCCAATTAAGCCTGAATTCATGATGATGAGGGGCCAATCTAAGAGCTCTCAAAGCTCTTTGTTATGTGTTTTAGGCTTTATTACTTTGTTTCTCTCCTTTATTGTCACCGCCACCACTAACACCGCCCACAACCACCAACACCAGCACCACCACCACAAACAACAAGAGAGTGATAGGATCATCAAGTTGCCTGGGCAGCCAGCAAAGGTGAGCTTCTCTCAATACTCCGGTTATGTCACGGTTGACAAGCGGGCTGGCCGGGCCCTATTTTACTGGTTGATTGAGTTGCCGGCCAATGGGAAGCCCACATCAAAGCCCCTTGTGTTGTGGCTCAATGGTGGGCCTGGTTGCTCATCGGTGGCCTATGGGGCCTCTGAGGAGGTGGGTCCATTTCGTGTTCGTCCTGATGGAAAGACTCTCGCCTTGAGTCCATACGCTTGGAATAAAGGTATAAATTTTGTTTGATAGTTTTTTTTGGGTTGATCTTAACCGTTGGTTATTTCATTCGCATGGTCATCATCAATGATTAAATTTGTTGTTAGATTAGGCGGGACCCACAAAAATAGTGGGATCCTTTTTTTGGTGCTTGACACTTGGACAGTTCAGATATATTGGAAATTTATTTTTGGATAATTAAATTTTTTGATGTTTTATTTCTAAGATAATTTTATGAGTTGATGCAGAGGCCAACTTGCTTTTCCTTGATTCACCTGCTGGTGTTGGTTTTTCCTACTCAAACACTTCATTTGATCTTGTCACGGGTGACCAAAGAACAGGTGTGTGTGTGTGTCACTCTCTCTCTGTTTCAATTTATTGGCATGAGATTTTTTGTTCTAAAATTTCTACTCCCTAAAAAGAAAAAAATTGTTTGCATGGTAATTTCCTTAGTTTTTTTAACTGAGTTTTTTGATAAAAAAATAAATATATATTGAAATTTGTAGCTAAGGATGCATACACATTCCTTGTAAAGTGGTTTGAGAGGTTCCCTCAATACAAGCAGAGGCCATTCTACATTGCTGGAGAAAGTTATGCAGGTCTCCCAACAAACACTTCTAAATATCAAAACATCATAATTTCAAAACCTTATTCATCAACCATACATATACATGTCAATGGATTTGCAGGTCATTACATTCCTGAGCTATCCCAAGTCATTGTTCATCATAATAAGGGTATCAAGGATCCAATAATCAATTTCAAAGGTTTTTTGGTAAGTCACAATACTCTTGCATCAATGACAACCTTTAGACTTTCTCACAAGTGTCATTTTTTAAAAAAATATTTTTATATTTTTTTGGAAAAGAAAATAATTTACACATACAATTTTGATATATAAAATGATGTGACTGTAAATTTTTACTTATTTATTTGCAATTCTCAGATAAAATAATGAGTGTTTTGACTAAAAATAAAAAATTACAGAAGGCAACATCATGCTTTACGTACAAAAATTTCATTTGTATAACATTATGCTCTTGCAAAACAATTATTCTATTTCTACATAAAATTAATCACAGAACCGAACATAACTCCTCCTACGGGTGTGTAATCCACAAAAAAAAGTGAGACTTATTTTATATGAGATGATTGTGTCTAGTTGTGTCATTGGTTTCAATACTACTAAACTATTTCTTTGCAAAATACATAAAGTTTATTTAAAAATTTAACTATTTTTGTTTTCAAAACACAGAAAACAAAAATGGTATAAAAACAAGTTTTTGACCTTTTGTTTTTTTGGTTCAAATAATGGCGGATTTGCCTTGGCGGTTCGGGCGGATTGGCAGTTTATAAAACATATAATTCAAATTACAAAACTTAAATCAAAGAGTAAAAAAAAGACGAGAGATACCGTGATGTTAATCATCTTGCGAAACTTTCTTCTAATGCAGCAAGTGTAGCAACATGGCCAGAAAAAAAAAAAAGATTGAAAAGTGAATTGGAATCCAACTTTATTTTGGATTACTGACATCTTGAATTCCACTCGAGCAGTAATATAATACTATATTCTAAGGTATAGAACAACAAGCAAACTTAAGTAAAAAAGAATTTTTAGAATCTTATAAAACATGATTTAATAGTGGTGCGGGTCGGTGCGGTTTGGAAGAAAAATAGAAACCGGCGGATTGATAAAAGTGTCACTAGAATTTGCCATTTTTCTTACAAAAAACTGGCGGTTCTATTGGCAAATAATAACGAATTTGCTTTGGCGGTGCGGTTCGGCGTGGTTTTGGCGGTTTCGGCGGTTTTGGCGGTATTATGCACACCCCTAGTTTCAATACTACTAAACTATTTCTTTGCAAAATACATAAAGTTTATTTAAAAATTTAACTATTTTTGTTTTCAAAACACAGAAAACAAAAATGGTATAAAAACAAGTTTTTGACCTTTTGTTTTTTTGGTTTGTTTTGTTTTGGGGAGCAGTTGGGAAATCCCCTTATAGATGATTATTATGATAATATTGGAACATTTGAGTTCTGGTGGAACCATGGTTTGATATCGGACTCAACCTACGAAGCGCTAAACGAGTCGTGTCCATATGAATCATTTTTATATCCTCGGAATCAGTGTTACGAAGCTCTCACTCGCGCTTACTCTCAATTCGGAGATATCAATCCCTATGCCATTTATGATGGTCCATGTTCTGAAACTGGAACTCTTCTTCACAATTTAAAGACTTCCTTGGTAAGCGTAAATAATTCATTATTTTGTAATTTTCTTCACATGTATTTGTTGTGTTGTTGTTGTTATCATCATAGTATTAATTTAGAGAATTCACACTTACAATGAAGAAATTTCATAACACCATTCTCTGTGAATAATAAAAATTAATAAAATGTGTTGATTTGTATATTATCCTACTTTTCAATAGATAATTTAGTAGTTCTGATCGCATTAGGTCTTCTATCTTAGAATCTTTATACATATTTTTAGGAAAATGTTTGGTAACTTAAAATTTTGTGGCTCAAATGGCTCAAATCTGTCAAAACGACGTCGTTTTACACTCAAAATCAGTCAAAACGACGTCGTTTTGAGTGATTTGAGCCATTTGAGCCACAAAATTTTGAGCTACCTAGCAGTGTTGATATTTTTATACCAATGTATTTTTAATTATTAAATTATGTCTTGAGTTCTCATATAATTTATTGGTTAGATGTATATTGAAACTGAAGAATTTGACATATTTCACTGTAAAAAATCTTTAACCTATCAAATATGTAAATGTGTTCCTAATAAATGAGGCTACTAGACAAAAGTGATAAATTATAGATGATACTGATCTTTTCTCCTATTCAATCACCATAGTGGATTAGTTTAATGTTAAACCAATCTCATAATTACTCTTGTGAATACCATGTCAACATGTTGAGTTTGTACTCCGAGATTACATGTATAACTAGTTTCAAGGATTAAAATATAGAAGAAAAAAATTATTCAGGGTATACTTTTGACTTGTGAAAACTAGAAGACCGAGAAAAATTTATTGATAAAATTAAATTATTTTGTTATTTCTATTTTGTTAGCATGTAACTTTACACATGTTGGGAAATTCAGCCATGGACATTTAGAGGGAATGACAAGTGCATAGTGAGGTATACAAAAATGTACATGAATCTCAAGGATGTACAAAGGGCTCTCCATGCAAATGTTACTCAAATTCCTCATCCTTGGATGACTTGCAGGTTAGTTAATTTCATCATCAACAACAACAATAATTAATTCAAGCATCACTTAATTCATTACATATATGCATGGTCTTTGCTGTCATCATTCTTTAATTTACCACCCATATCAAGATGATTTCATTTTCATGTGGATCACCCAAACAATCCCTTGAAGTTTTTTTTTTTTAAAAAAATATATAATTCTGATTTTGCCTAATTAATGTTCAATCTATCTCATTCTCAACACCTTGTTTAATTGCAGTGATGTTATAAGGGGCAGTTGGACTGATTCGCCCAAATCTATGCTTCCTATCATAAAGGAACTCATTGCAGCTGGACTCAGGATATGGATCTTTAGGTAATTTTCATTATTTTTGTTTCAATTTTTTATTTATTTAATTATATATATATATATTTATTTATTTGAGTGCTACTAAATACACCAATCAAGCTTCTCTCCCCACACATAAAGACACAATTCTCAATGCTTGTGATGTGATAGAGGGCACGAGATTCTCTGTCCTCAAATCTTATTCTCTTTTCTCAAATCTTATTTTCTTTCCATCCATCTCAAAATAATTTATCTTTAGATTGTGTATTGAGATTTTTGTGTGTCAAGAATTGTGATTTTTTAAAATAAGTAAGCGGATGAAATTTTAGAATAAAATATCTTAGAGAGGTGAGTATAGTAACAAATTAAATGCATTTAGCAACGTTCTCTTTTTTGGAACAATAAACAAACTTAAAGTAGTTGTCACACCATGCGACAGTCACATGATATACCATTTTCTTCTTTTTCCTTTCTCATAATCTAATTACGTGCATAGAATTAAATTATAGAAAATTATTCTAAATATTCACGGGAGTGTGAATCTCACAAAAAGTTAATTAGTTATTGGATAGACACCTATATAAGTATTTGAGTTATTTTTATGAAAAAATAATTAGAATTTTAAATATATAGCATAAATTTAAAATTTTGATATACTGTGAATCTGAATCACTCAGAATGGAGTCATTTTTCACACATTTCAAATTTTAAATATTTTAAAAAATAAAATAAATTTGACTTTGATTTAATTGAATGTACCTCTATTTTCTCTCATTCTCTGTCATCATCTAATTAAAAGTAGTATTTGAAAAAAAAAAAAAAAAAACAGTGGGGGTAGTGATGCTGTTCTTCCACTGACTGCAACAAGATATTCCATTAAAGCTCTAAATCTTGAGACCATCAAAGATTGGTTTCCCTGGTACTACAATCAACAGGTAATTTATTTTTTTATTTTTTATTTTTAAATTTTTTTTTCATACATGAACTACAAAAATTACAATAATTTATAAAGTAATTAATCTCTTGTTCTTGATTGAAATACAATATGATGTATATATATATATAGGTTGGAGGGTGGAGCCAAGCATACAAAGGCCTGACCTTTGTGACAGTAAGAGGAGCTGGACATGAAGTTCCCCTGGGCCGCCCTAAGCTTGCACTCACACTCTTTAGACATTTCTTATACAATCAAACCATGCCATCATCACCTTCTTGACAATATTTGCAAATCAATAATGCTATGGAATTAGCAAAAATAATTCTGAAATGAAGTGAGGGAAGCAGATTCATCCTGGGTGTTATCCACATTATACGAAATTTGAATTTAAACCATATATTTTATTTTCTGATCAATTTTCAAGTTGCTTTTCTAAGTTCGTATCTTTGTCTTTTGCCGATTTGGGCATCCAAGTTGTAAGTGAGTCATTGTTAGATTGATAGTTTAGTTAGCTATATGATAACAATGTTGTTATAGTGATAAAATTTGAATAGAAAATTCAAATATTATATGATGTGTCATTAGTAACAAATTAAAAAAAATTTAAAATTAATTAATATTATTATTTTCATTATCTGTAACAATTAACACAAAACATAACATAATTACGATGGTCCCTAATTTTTATTTTGGAGATTTGCTTATTCATAATTTTACACACCTCACGAAAATTTATAAATTTTGTCACGAAAATTTATAAATTCTTATAATAGAAGTGTATATAACATCATTTTTCTAGAATTACATTGTCAAAAGCATAAAAATTTGGAGTTATTTAGTTTAACGTCCACCTCTAACTTTTACTAATAGAAGAGACTTACAATATTTTCTTTTGTAACATGAGGTGCCTCAAATCACTCACCTATTTATCTTACAACCATCTCATTTCTTCTAAACTCACTTTCTCAAACCTTATTATCCTCTCTCTCTCCCTTCTAGTCTCTCTCTTCATCAGCAGATGCACTGAACCCTAGATCACGGCCATGAACGGCCACCACTCCTTGGCGATATGTCTCCGATGGAAGCTTCTCTCTGTTGAAGACCAATACTTGTAATTAATAGCATAACTAGATAATAGAGTTTACAGACACCGTGCGAACGAACTTGGCGTTAGATTTTGGCCACTTTGGCGTAGGTGACTCTGACGGTAACTCTAGTGTCTTTGACACAGTTTGATATGTAGATGGAGCTCATTTTCCGAAGAGGTGTGTCAAATATTGTGGAATGGGTCTTTGAGATTTTGGTTTGGAGGTGTTATAAATTGTGTGACAGTTTTTTGGCTTAGATTGTAAGAAAATATATGTATGTAGAGAGAGAGAGAGGGTTTATGATAGTTTTTGGGTGATGTATGGAATGATTTAGCATGAGTTTTCAGGGGTATAAGGTGAAATCAAAAAAGGAGCTTATATTTATAAAAAAATAAAAATAAAAAAACACCTTAATTGATATCATTATCGGCGATTGATACTAAAATAAATATCAAAATGTATTCATTTTAGAGTTAAAAAAAAAAAAAGTACCACTCAATTTACAAATCACAATCCTCTAATTATTTCATATCTGATAGTAAAGAAAATATAAAAAATAATTTATTGAAACAAAATTAAGGCAAAAAAATTAGGAAAAAAATATTTATTTCACTAAAATTTGATAAATAAGAAGGTAAAAAAAAATTAGGACAAGTTTATTGTTTCACTAAAATCTGATAAAGAATGAAAGTAGAAAGAAATTAGGACAAATTTATTTATTCTATTAAAATCTGATAGTAAGAGAGAGAGAGAGAGAGAGAGAAGACTTACTGTATGAGAGAGAGAGTGAGTCACCGTTGTTGATAATTTCCAATCAATTTTTGTCGTTGCTCAGTGCTCTGCTTATGCCTGATATGCTTCATTTCCTTCATCACTTTGTGAGAGAGATTGAGAGCTTGTATGTGTTGATCGTCCTGAGCCACAACACTTTTTGTAGATATTTTAATTTTAATTAGGCCAAATCACACTTATAAATAAATATGGTCCAACAAACTGTTATTGAGCCCTTTGAATTGGTTTAACAAAAAAAATTTGGGTCAATTTAAATTTGTAATATATTATAATACTTTACTAAATTTGAGACCTCTATTTTGGGCCAAATTTTTGGGGCCTAAAACACAGGCCTTAGTGGCCTTAACCTAGGGCCGGTATTGTTTACCATCATTAGTAATGACTGTTTTTTTCACAATCATCTTTTGTGGTGTTAGGCAACCACCGCTCAGACTACCGCTACATTCATCAAAGGCAATGGTAGAGACATCAAAGATGAATTGTGGCAAAAAAGTACTAAAAGTTTTACGAGATTTGCAAATCAGAAAATTTTGTTTGCAAATTAGAAATGTTTCAAATTAGAGAAAATTTGAAAACATAGAGAAAATCAGAGAAATTGAGCAAGTCAAAGAAATTTCAAACCAAAGAAATTTGTCTGTATTTTAAAATTTCTTTGGATTGAAATTTCTCTGAGTTGAATTTTTTCTGCTTCAAAATTTCTTTGTAAAAATTTGAGGAACCCCGACTATTATGAAAATATTTCATGTCATTTATGTTATAAAATCTTAATATGAAAGACCTTAAAACAAATTCTCCAAAAAAGTTGTATGACAATTTAATGGAGTCACTAAAGATAGAAGAAATTACAAGTCAGTGTTTTTTTCAAAATAAAAAATTAAATTAGTGGTAAATTTTATAAACATCGACGCTTCGTTTTAGAAAATATTTTCCACATTTTCCGTCGTTTGGTATAACAAAAAATAAAAGTCAACGGAAAATATTTTCTATGGTCAATAGAAAACAAGCTTATTTGAGTGAAAAAAATATTTTTCACTTTTAGAAGGCCAAAAACATTTTTCATATTAAAATTTTATCAGTGCCACCACATTATCATCATTACCACCACATTATCATCATTACCATCACCTCCACCACCACCACGGCCACAACCACCATTACCACTGTCACCATTGTCACCTCCACCACCCCATAGTCACTGCATTACCATCTCTATCTCATTACTACCACCACTACCCCCAACACCTCCCACTTTCACCCTGTCGTACTGTTATCACTACCGTCGTCACTAATTCAATGATTAGTACTTTAATTTTAAGAATGCAACCAAAAATAAAAAAAAATATTTTCTCGAAACTTTTTTTATAGAAAATGTTTTCCAAAAAATTTGTTTAAAAAATATTTTTCGTCGAAACAAATATAGCGTAATAATTAAATTGATAAATTTTTGCATTAATATGCAAATATTTTTGTAAAATTTCCAAATTATTCAATACCACTGGTGGCATGTTTTAACTTTTAATTTTTATAGGACTTACCTTAAGACCGAGATTGGTTGGTTCAATTTTAGAATTAGTTTTTTTTTTTTTTAATAAAAGAAAATTCAATGAAAATTCTATCGAAACGTTATTTTAAAAATTATTCTCCTTCCAAAAAAGATAAATTGAATGATAAGTGTTCTTGATTTATTATTATTTTTCATAAAATTAATTTTTAATATTTAAAAAAAATTAAAAATTGAAAATCAAATCAAAGATGACGTCACTCTCCACAAACGCTGTGTTTGGTTAAGGGATTTGGAAAGGAAAATGAAAAAAGTGTATAAAACTAAGTAAAATGTAAGTATATTTTATTCACATTTCATCATCTTTTTTCGTTTCTCTTTCCAACCCCAACCAAACACAGCCTAAAAAAATTAAACGTCAACAAGCAATCTGAAATTGGAAAGTTTTTTTACACCCATTATAAGGAAAATGTTCGATTCACGCAAAAGATATTTGATACTGATGGGCACCCAAGGGGTCCCAACCCACGGCTCAGGGCCCAGCTCACGGCCTAAGTGTTAAAGCCCAGTAACTTTGAGAAGCCAATGCTGGCCTAGGACCAATAGCATTTAAACACTTGTCAGGTAGGGAATTAGTCACGTGAGTAGACAAAGATCCTGCAAAGTTCTTGCACCCACACATCAGCCATTTAATGAGGCTACTATAGCATTAAATGTAGTAAGACCCCTCACGCTGGAATATGCAAAATCACTATGAACGATGTTAACTAGGCCATAGACTTTCGGCCAACAAGATCGCTTAGAATGAACAACGAAATGATGAGCAAAGGATATAAGGAAGCTTTCGAAGTATGTTAGAGGTAAGTCTTCACCCCTTTGCTTCTCTCTTTCTCTCTCTCTAAAATCAATCTGCCCTAACCTAACTTGATCGTCGGAGTGTCCGTCGGGGGACTACCTCATCCTTTGGACCTTTTTGCAGGCACCTCTTGAGGATATTAAGCCCAACAGACTCGTTAGAAGCGTGGATCAGTTTGATCCATCCGCCATTGAAGTTATTGCATCATCAGTTGGCGTCGTCTATGGAAATTCATCTCTGGTCGACAGTTGTGTTCATTGTCGTCGGAGGGAACCTCGTTAACACCCATCTCGTATGTCAGGATGGATGGTCACGACTAGATCCATGGCTTCACAACACAATGCTGGCAACCCTAAAGCCGAGTCTACCAACCCAAATAACCCACTCCATATTTCGCAAAACTCACCACCAACAGCAACCAGTTGACTGAACAAAGCTAAGCCTTGATCAACGCTTTGCTCCAGCGCGACTTACTTATCTCTCATTTACCACCTCAAATAGTCCCCCCTAACCGGGAACAAACCCACAACCATCACCAATTTCTAGCACATGTATCCCAAGGAATATTCTCGACTTTTGTCCCACAGCCTCAACCGTCGAACATCGACGATCTGCGCGCCCTTCCTCCAGGCTCGAAGCCCCGTCGGGAGGGACCACCGCTTTTCCATAACCACCTGCCACTGCACCATACCGCTGTCTATGAAGGTGAGACTAGCAGTGTTCAACCCCCAGGTCATGCTTGTGGAGATAATGCCCTTGCTTGGAAAGAAGAATTACGGGCCATGAAGCTTCAGTTACAAGGGGCTATGCAGAACATACAATATAAACCTTCTTCCACCGTTAACTCCCCTTTTACTGCTTCAATCAGAGATAAAGCTCTACCCTCTATGTTTAAAATGCCATCGATTGACACCTTCGATGGTACAACCGATCCGGTCGACCACGTGGAAGCATATCGGACATTTATGATCTTTCACGTATTTCTAGACGAAATCACGTGTCACGCTTTCCTCGTCAGGTTGAAAAGGTCACCGCGACTCTTGTTCAACCAGCTTCCCTTAGACTTTGTCACTTCCTTTCACCAGCTCAGCGAGTTTTTCTTGAGCCATTTCATCGGTGCATAGTGCTAATGACACCCCGCGACTCAATTACTAAATATTCGGTAGAACGAGGGGGAATCACTACGCAGCTTTGTCGCCCGCTTCAATACAGAGGCCTTACAAGTGGAGGAAAACGATGACAAGGTCATTCTCACAGCCTTCATGGTCGATTTGCGCCCATCGAATTTTCTCTTTTCTCTCTCCAAAACCCCTCGATTGCAATGGCAACCCTTCTCGCCAAAGCCTAGAAATACATGAATGCTGAAGACTTCCTGGTTGCTCGCCAAGACTCCACATCCAAAGCTTTGCAGTCCAAGAAAAAGAGAAAAAAAACTTGACCGCCATGTTGGTTCGAGCGATACACACCTCTTAACTCGCCTATGCAGCAAGTCTTGCACTAAATCCAGCCTGACTATGACCTCAAGTGGCCCCAACCATTGAAATCCCCCTCCACTAGGCGGGCCCAATCCAGGTATTGCCATTTCCATCGTGACCACGACCATACCGCTGAAGAATGTGTCAACCTCAAAGACTAAGTTGAGGATCTGATCCGCTAAGGGCGTCTCAACCGGTTCACAATAGCTCGCCCCCACCAAAGACCTACGACTGAACCCTTAAGGCGCAACGACCGACGCACTCTTCCTAGACAGCCTGAACCACCTAGGCGGCATGATGACTAAGCTCCACAACAACCTCGCACGCAAGGTGCTTCTGTCTCCCCGGTTGGGGAAATCAGGGTTATTGCCGGAGGGCTCGCGTGTGGCAGACTATCTCGGTCGACACAGCGAGTTGAGCTCCAAAAAATCAGGCAAGGCTCCGATAAGGCAGAACGACAGTGGACTGCCCTTACAAACAACCCAAGCAATGGTTTGAACCGATCATCTTTACGGAGGCAGACTGCACAGGCGTTCGTTATCCCCACGACAACCCCCTGGTCATTTCTACTCTCTTATCAAACTACAAAGTCAGACGAGTACTTGTCGACAATGGCAGCTCCTCAGACATCATCTTCCTCAACGCCTACGAATAACTCAAAGTCGAGAAAGAAGAGTTGCCACCTCTACAAACCTCTCTGGTCGGTTTCACCAGAGATCGGGTGACGTCTATAGGCTCCATCGACCTCCCAATCACCATCGAACAATATCCACGACAGTCCACAAAACTACTCACTTTCCTCGTTGTTGACTGCCCTCCGTCTACAACATCATACTTGGATACACAGCTCTCAACGCTCTCCAAGCTGTAACCTCCACGTACTATTTGGCCATGAAATTTTCGACCAATTAGGGGGTCGGTATGGTGAGGGGCGAACAGACGGTAGCTAGAGAATACTATATCGCCTTATTAAAGAAGGTTAGAATGAAGGAGACCATGATCATAGAAGGCCTTGATGTTAGAGATGAGGAGGAGCTAACCAGAGGGTAACCAGTGAAAGAACTAGTTGAAATACTCATTAACCCCACCGACCCGATAAAGACAGCTAAAATTGGTAGCCAGCTGCCCCCTGCCAAAGTCCACCTTACAGCCCTCTTAGCCGACCATAACGATGTCTTTACTTGGACTCACTCCGACATACCAGGTATTGACCCTTCTCTCATTACTCATCGCTTCAGTATTGAGCCCCAATTCCGATCCTTCTGCCAAAGGCAGCGCTTTTTCCATCCAGAGCGTAACAATCTCGTCGCTATTGAGGTAGACAAGTTGTTGAAGGCTTAGTTCATTAAAAATGTAGACTATTCCAAATGGCTATCCAATGTGGTCTTGGTCCGCAAAAATAATGGCAAATTGAGACTTTGCGTTGACTACTTTGACCTCAAACGAGCCTATCCTAAGGATAGCTACCCATTACCCAGGATCGATCTATTGGTTGACACAACGGCAGGACACCAGATGCTTAGCTTCATGGATGCTTTCTCAGGCTATAATCATATCTTAATGCATGTAGCTGACCAGGAACACACCTCCTTCATTACTGACAAAGGAACTTGTCATTACCATGTGATGCGATTCGGTTTGAAGAATGCGGGGGCCACTTACCAACGTTTGGTCAATGTTATTTTCAAAAACTAGATAGGTAGGAATATGGAGGTCTACGTTAATGACATGCTCATCAAAAGCAAACTCTCCTCCGATCACCTGGTCGACTTACGGGAGACCTTCTAGGTCTTGCGCATAAGATGAAGCTGAATCCAGAGAAGTGCGCCTTCGGCGTTGGGTCTGGTAAGTTATTGGGGTTTATGGTTAGCCACAAAGGTATTGAGGCCAATCTAGAGAAGATCAAGGCCTTAATCGAAATGTAATCTCCCCGAACGGTAAAAGAAGTTCATCGGCTTACTGGCAAAGTTGCCGCCCTCAACCGTTTTATTTCGCGAGTAACTGACAAGTGTCTTCCATTCTTCAAAGTTCTCCGTCAGGCTTTTGAATGAAACACCGAATTCGAGGAGGCCTTCCAACAACTGAAACGATGCATGGCCAATCCCCCTCTCTTCTCTCAAGCAATGCTAAGAGAGGCTCTCTTCCTCTACTTAGTTGTCTTTAACACTGCGGTTAGTGTTGCCCTCATTGCAGAAGAAGGCTCAGTCCAACGCCCAGTTTACTACATCAGTTGCGCACTTCTAGGGGCAGAACAGAATCACCCATTGTTAGAAACAAAATGACCCTAGCTGTAGTTAGGGGTGTTCGCGGTTCAGATTTGGACGGTTTGCGGATCGGTTTGGACCCGCCCGCATCTATGCGGTTTGAGAAAAAGACAACCCGCAACCGCCCGCAATGCGATTTGCGGTTTATGCGGATAGGGTTCACTGATGTGCGGGCGGTTGCGGGCGGTTTGCGGATTGGACTTTTTTCTTCAAAAATTTATTTTTGAGCCATATTTTTTTTACCATTTTGTAAATATTTATTTTGGGCCATTTTCTCCCTATTTTCTAAAATGCTTCAACATTAATAATTAATGAATTAAAACTTATAAAATTAAAAACACAACAAAATCAATTCGTAACACAAATAAATTATTCAAAATCTTAAATCAAATCATAAACTAACGCAAGTACATATTTCAAAATCCTAAACTATAACTGCATATTCATTAAGAAATTTAAAATTCCAAATCACACTTCATCCGAGGCAAGTTCAATTATGTAACAATAATAATATGATCAGTATTTATTCAGTTTCAGTTGATATAATACTGTTAGCAAATGTAATGTTAGAGTAAGTTTAAAGAATAAATGGTGTTTTATTTTGGGCAAAAATATCTAGGTAGGATATATGAATAAAATCAACGGTTAAGATAAAAAAATAAAAATAAATAAATAAATAAAAGTGCGTGCGATTTCTTGCGGGTGCGGGTTAAACCCGCAACCCGCAAATATGTCATATTTCAAACCGCATCCGCCCACATTGTATTTGCGAAACCGCCCATTTGTATGCGGATTGGGCAGGTTGGGCGGTTTTTGCGGATCGGATAAACCGTTGTCCACCCCTAGCTTTAGTCATCACCTCTAGACGCCTCCGACCCTATTTCCAAGCCCACTCCATAGTGGTCCTCATTGACCAGCCTTTGAAAAAGGTTATGCAATAACTAGAGTCGTAATGAAGGCCCATACAATGGTCTGTTGAACTGAGCTAGTATGAGATCTCCTACCGACCCCGAACAGCCATCAAAGGCTAGGCTATTGCAGATTTTATCTTAGAGTTCACTAACCTCACTCCTGACATACCCCCGACATCAACAAATGTCATTCCTAATATAGAAGACCCCCATTCTTGGGCTCTTAACGTTGATGGTTCATTCCGCAAAGAAGGTAGTAGAGTTGGCTTGATCCTTACCAACCCCGAGGGTGAATCCTTCAAGTGTGCTCTTTGATTTCTGTTTCCCGTAAGTAACAACAAGGCCGAATATAAAGCCCTAATAGCAGGTCTTCGATTGGCCAGGGACATTGGGGTTGACCATCTCTGTGTGTCTAGTGATTCTCGGTTGGTCGTCGGACAGATAATAGGCGAATTCGATGCAAATGAGGAAACAATGTGATCATACAGGGACATCGCTCTTCCCCTCACCCGTCTCTTTAATAGTTTTCACATTAAGCATGTCCTCAGGTCAGAGAACTCCCAAGCAGATGAAATGGCCCAATTAGTCTCAGCAGACCAATCCGACCTCAACTACGGTGTCCAAATTGAATACCTAACCCACCTAGTAGTTTCACTAGCTCTATAGAAGGTTCACCTGCTCCAGGACACGCCTATCTCATGGGCCCAAGACATCATCCCATTTTTAGAACAGGGCATCCTACCAGAGAATAAACAGGAGGCCGACAAGATCAGGGCTCAGTCGTCTAATTATGTCATCATCGATGGCATCTCGTACAAACGGGAATTCTCACGACCATACCTAATAAAATATTTTCCAAAAGTATAATAACTACCTATTTTGTAATTATATTTTAGTGGTTCAAATTTGTTGTTTTCTTTTCCAAAAGTATAATAACTACCTAATAAAATATTTTTAAAAAAATCAGCCAGAGGGTTCACCCTCATGGTATGGAGTTATTTGGTGATTTTGGAGGCACCACCACAGGTGCTTTAATAACATTATAATTAATAGGGAGGTAGAACTCGTAATTTTATATTAAATGATTAAAAAATATAAACAAATATAATTAATTATGATTAGTCAAAAAACATAATCATGTGACACCCACGAACTAATCAATAATTTTTCCACGATAAGGTAGCGTCGCCCATGACTAAAGGAGTGCCCACGTGATATAAATTTTTACTTTATTTTTATTATTGTTTTTTATTATAATATATAAATAAAGAGAAATTACAATTTCGTAGACTTTTCAAAAAATAATTATAATTATAAATATAATTATTAATATTTATAAAATTTATCATTAATTTATAATAATATATTTTTTTAAATACACTGATTTGATATTTCTACTATTCTTTCGTTTGACATAAGTTAAAATGTATTTTTTTGACTAAAATAATTATAAAAAAACAAAATAGGCTTTTAAGTTAATATCCAAACTACAATTATTCTATTTTATCTTTCACAAAAATTAAAAAAAAATCAAATAACCTATATGAAACGAAACTTTTTAACCAAAAACAAAAGAAAAAGAAAAAAACCACACATCTCAAACCAACCCATACAAATAAACAGAAGCAAGATGACCTCAAGAGCAAAAGCGTTTTTTGTGTGCTTTGCTTAAAATCATGATTAAGAAGATACCCTCCAAGGCCTGTTCTTGCTATGTTTCCTTCATTGTCACTCTTCTTCTTCTTCTTCTTTCTTCTCTTTCCACTCGCTCAGTCGCCGGCGATTACAGAGAAGAACAAGAGAGGGACAGGGTAGTGAAGCTGCCGGGGCAGCCGGAAAATGTGGGGTTCTCACACTACTCCGGCTACATCACGGTGGATCCACCATTTGGCAGGAATCTATTTTACTGGTTGATTGAGGTGCCAGCTGGCAGGAAACCCATGTCAAGGCCACTTGTATTGTGGCTCAATGGTGGCCCTGGTTGCTCATCTGTTGCTTATGGTGCCTCTGAAGAAATTGGACCTTTTAGGGTTGGTCCTGATGGGAAGACTCTCACTTTGAGTCCCTATGCTTGGAATAGAGGTACTTATTATTACTGTTATTATTTTATAGTTTATAAAATCTATGGAATTAGTAAAAAATTAATTTTTTTTACTTTCAATCAATAAATTTAGTTCCAAAGAAATCATTGCAGCATTCTCTTCTTTGGTTGATCTGTTTCACCCTTGTACTCCTTCATTTTTTTTTTCCCAAAAATAGGCCATGTGTGCATTGGGACATTTATTGTAAAACTTTGTTTATTTTTATATATATTTTTTAATTACAGAGGCGAACTTGCTTTTTTTGGATTCACCAGCCGGAGTGGGTTTCTCTTATTCTAGTACCTTAGAAGATCTGTTGAATGTTGGTGACAAAAGAACAGGTCCACACACACACACTCTCTCTCTCTCTCTCTCTCTATATATATATATATATATACGAATCGGCTTATGCTATAACTGTTGTGAATAATTTTTTTTTTAATCTTATTTAACTTTTTTAATTTGTAATTATGGGTCTAATTGCTTCAATCGCATATATGTAATATGTGCCAACACTGGTAGTATATATGGATTATGGGGTGTGTTTGGAATGTGAATTTATTTTTGTGAAATGCTTCATTTTATTTGCATATTTTGAGTTGGAATGCAGCTAAAGATGCATACACATTCTTAATCAAGTGGTTTGAAAGGTTCCCTCAATACAAGCATAGGCCTTTTTACATTGCTGGAGAAAGTTATGCAGGTTTTTCTCTCTTCAACTCAACTCAAATTAATATCAATATTTGATTCTTTATTTTTGTAGAATTGAAATCCTTTATCATTCTCTTATAACAATAATTTTATTTATGATATTATTTGTAATAAATCAAACGTGATTGATTCATTTGTTTCATTTTTAATTGACCAGACACAATGTAAAAATAAGCCTCCAACCATAGAGCTGTAAACGTGTTCATTGTCCCAGTGGAGAATTTGGTAACGTGTAATGCCAGATTTGTCGGTATCTATGGGTGCTGAGTCAGTGACACGGATAAGTGGGGTTTGGTATTTTTTTTTTGGGAAAATTATGGTTTGACGTGATGGCTTGCGGTGAGTTAAGGTTAAAAGTAAGAATAAAGATTGGTAGCTCGAAGGATTTTGCCCCCGAATCCCCCTAAAGCCCAAAACGACGTATTACAAAAAATAAAATAAAATTTTTAGTTTTAAATTAAAAAATATTATATTTAAATTATAATTACTTTATTTTTTTTATAAAATTAAAAAAGTCAAAAAGTTTATTATAAACAAAATTTTTTAGTCTTAAATTAAGGCCTTGTTTGGGAATATATTATTTTAGTAATTTTTTGAATTTTTAGTTAAAATATGAGGTAAAAAAACTTGTATGTTTAGAATGATTTTTTACAAAAAAATGTATAAAAAGTAGAAAGAAAATAGAATCTTTGACTTTTTTGTATAGGTTAAAGGACTTTTTAGTTTTTTTAGTAATTTTTTTACTTTTAAACTAAAATTATTACTTCTCAAACGAGACTTAAAATAACTAAAAAGTCAAAAAGCAACTCACATCCCAAACGAAACCTATAAATTAAATCTAAAAAAAAAATTACATATTAATGAAAAATTTTATTCATTTTAATAATTAAAGACATAAGTTTTTCAATATACATGTAATTATTTTTTTAAGATACACTGAACAATAATTATCCTTTTGTGTGGGTGTGTGTTGGGGGTTATTATTCAAGATAACTTTTTTTAAAAATATTACATATTAATGAAAAAATTTACAATATTAATTATTACTATTTATGATAAAAAAAAATTTGTAAATATTTTTTACTGACATAATGTCAGTACAATTCTCCCCCTTTTTGATGTTTTTTTTTTTAAAAAAAGTATTTCTTTTAAGATATTAAAAAAAATTATAATTTTAAATTCTACTCAACTAAATAGACTTGAAAATTAAAAAATTAAAAAAAATCTGTTAAAAACAAAAATATTTTGAACCTTGGTAAGGTGAGGTGAGTGTGATTTACTTAAAATTAAAAGGCAAGCTTAAAATATTGTGCCAATGCGAATCCCAGAACCAGAAATTTTATTACAAGTGACAAAATTATTGTACCAAATTACCAATAGTGTTAAGAGGTTTGGTTTACTTAAGCCTCCGTTTGGGAAGTGGGTTGGCTTTTTGGCTTTTTGATTTTTTTGGCTATTTTAGCCTGGGCTAAAAAGCTTGGTTTGGGAATTGAAAATTAAAAAAAATCTGTTAAAAACAAAAATATTTTGAACCTTGGTAAGGTGAGGTGAGTGTTAAAATTAAAAGGCAAGCTTAAAATATTGTGCCAATGCGAATCCCATAACCAGAAATTTTATTACAAGTGACAAAATTATTGTACCAAATTACCAATAGTGTTAAGAGGTTTGGTTTACTTACGATTTTTTTTATGAAAAAACAACAATTTTTTAAATATTATGAGATATCGAAATAATTTTTTCATTCCAAATGATAAAATTATGAAAATACTAATATATGTATATTTGTTCTTGTATCTTATGTTATTTTTTTTATAGCAACAAAAAAATGATTTTTGTTCTTTGGATATATATACCTAACAGATACGTTAATTTATTTTTTTTTCATTTTTTTTATTCATGTATTTTCAGGTCATTATGTACCTCAGCTATCTCAACTTGTAGCAAGAGGGAACAAAGGCATCAAGAACCCAGTTATTAATTTCAAAGGTTTCTTGGTATGTCAACATTTATATAATTCTATGTATCTATCTATGGAAGTCAAAGGATTAAACCATTAAAAAGGACTAACAACCCATTTGGATTGCGAGACTTGAAAATTTTTATAAAAAAAAAAAAAAGAAAGATTTTTTTTATAAAAAAAGATTTTTTTTTTAAAAAAAATTCTAATTACTTCTTTGAATGATGAAAAAAGAGTGAAACCAAATGAAATAGAATAAATAAAATAAAATAACAAAACAACAGGGAGAAACATTTTTCTCTCAAAATTAACCTTTTGAATCTCGCCAAAAGTGTAGAGATTTGAGAGAAGAAATAAGGAAATATTGACTTTTGACTTGTCTAAATACAAAGGAATTAAAGTAATTAGAAATTATTTTGATAAAACAATATAAGTCATTTTCTCTTGTGCTTATCCAAATGAGAAAGAAAAAATATAATTTTTTTATATTATTTTCTTCCTCTCCCAACTTAAATAATATTTTATTTTTCTTTCCTCTCGTTGATTTCCAAATAGGTTGTAAAATTATACACGGTACTCATTTGCTAGAATTCTCGTTATTTTCATCAAAGGCGGCTCCATCATGCTAACATTTACATTCATGATAAGTTTAATTGTGTGTAAATAAACTTATTCGTTGTTAATTATCATATATTGCTTCAATTAATTTATAGTAATCTTATTCATATATCATTGTTTTGAGTAAGCTAGGGAATGGGCTTCTTGATGACCACTACCAATTTATTGGATCATTTGACTTCTGGTGGAACCATGGTTTGATATCAGATACAACATACAAGGCATTGTATAAAGCTTGCTCAAATAGCTCATGGATATATGCAAACGATGAATGTGCCAAAGCTTATTCCAAAGCTACAAATAATATGGGGAAAATCAATATGTATAGCATGTACGACAGCTTTTGTGGGGATGTAGGGACTACCACTACTTTGCCCACCAACTTGTGGAATATTCCTCTAGTAAGTTTATTCTTCAAAATTTTAAAATTCTAATTATTATTTTTTAAAAAAAAATTTAATCAATTTTTCAATTTTTTTTTTTTTAGATTTACTGAATTTGGATACACTTAGAAAATATATTTGTAAAAAAACTCTTAAAAAATTCACAATATATATATATAAATTCAGTATATTTTCGTATTTTTTATATTTATTGATTTTTTTAATTTCTTCAAAAATATTTTATATTTTAAGTGTATTTAGGATTAGATGGATCTAAAAAAAATGATTAAAATATTTAAAAAGTTCATTAAAAAAATGAATTGAAAACTCAAAAAAGCCAAATAGAATTAACACATATGTTGAAAATTGCCAAATTATTGCTTTAATAAATTATAGATTCAATGCAATATTTCTTGTTTTTAATTACTCATATTAACATAGTTCATGTATCGTGTATTGAATTAATACAGATATCAACACTGGTTGGGAAGGATGGGACTTGTAGGGTAAAGTATACAAAAATGTACTTGAATGACTCTAATGTCCAAAAGGCTCTTCATGTCAAAGCTGATGAGATATTCCATCCTTAGAGCATCTCCAACGGTAGTAGGCATTTTACCTATCTAAATATTACTATAAAGTATATATTTTATTTTGCCTATCAACTGTTTTAGAATTGAAAACTCAAAAAAGCCAAACAGAATTAACACATATGTTGAAAATTGCCAAATTATTGCTTTAATAAATTATAGATTCAATGCAATATTTCTTGTTTTTAATTACTCATATTAACATAGTTCATGTATCGTGTATTGAATTAATACAGATATCAACACTTGTTGGGAAGGATGGGACTTGTAGGGTAAAGTATACAAAAATGTACTTGAATGACTCTAATGTCCAAAAGGCTCTTCATGTCAAAGCTGATGAGATATTCCATCCTTACACTACTTGCAGGTTCAATTTCACTTTAATAAAAATAAATAAATAAAAGGTGTGAAAAACATAATGTTATACAACTGTCTCATAAAATGTGAGTCCTCTATAATCTGAAGCCTACATTTACTACTCACTCTACATGAGACATTTGTATTTCATTCTTTTGTTTTGTACACTGCTGAAAATAAAACAAATTTAATTTGTTTGGCATTTTGCTAACTTTCTGGAATTAAAATGACTAATTTTCAGTTGGACAGCAAACTGGAGAGGTATTGTTGGGCTTGGTGAGTCCATCTCGGGGCCCATCATAGTGATCCGAACCATTATCAGTCAAAACATTGTTCATGCAAAAATTAAGTTGATAGGATACTGGTAGCTATATGATTGGATCACATTTATCTTTAAAAAATAGATGAAAACTATAATTTTAAGAATAGACCATTATTTTAATACAAATGTGATTTGATTATGTGGTTATCGTTAGCTGATCACCTTGATATTTTTATTGATACTCTACTCAATAGACTTTAAAAAACGAACAATTTAAATTATCAAAATAACTTTTAAAGTGAGCCGACTAAACTCCACTAAGCCTCTCCAGTTAGATTCCCAATTGCCTAATTGGAGAGAATCAAATCTGAAATGAAATTATGGCCCATTTCAAAATTAATTATTTGAATTTATTACAAAATAATACGTAAAAAATAGAGTGATAAATAGCTTATAATGGTTTATAGTTTTTTAGAATCTTACAATAAGTTTGTTTTTTTTATTTATAATTTTAAATTTTAAATTTTATAATCTCTACAGTAACGTTGTGACGGCAAAGTGGGCTGATTCTGCTTCCTCTGTGCTTCCTATCTTTAAGGAACTCATAGCAGCCGGTATCAGGATTTGGGTGTACAGGTAACTCCAATTTTTTTTAGAATGTGTCTAGTAGATCATATTAGTAATAAATTTTATAAAATTTTATTTATTCATTTATATTCAATGCCATTTTGTGTTCATCTGTGTCAGTGCAGAGTCATAATCTAGATTGTTCATTAGCTATTTTCTATTTGAAACATAAACCTTTTTTTTTTTTTTTGATGGCCAAATATAAACCTAACTAGATAAGTCATTAGAACTCACTTCTTTTTTTCTTTCTTTCTTTCTTTTTTTTTTTTTAATTTAAAAAATTGCAATTATTGTTTTTCATCCCACTCACTCTCCGTTTATTTTGGTGCAAAACTCTCTTCCCTTCTTGAACGTAAAATGAACTGATTTAGATGAAAAAAATATGGGCAAATTTCGCGTGTATTTTAATTTAAACCATAGGGCGTCACAATTAATGCCCTACGCCCTCGTCCATCTCTGCCGGTTTGACGTTATCGCACGTCAATCCTGTGTCACACTGACATCATCCACACGTCAAAAAAATAATCTAAAAGGAAAATGAGTGAGAGCACTAATTAGTGCTATCACTAATGATGTGGCAGTGGGTTCCACCAGGAATGATTTGATGTTTTGGCCTTGATGTTGTATTTTTTTTCTTTTTTTATTGAGTGCCATGTCATTAGTGGTCTTTTTAGAGGTCCAAAATTAGTGGTCTCTATCATTATTGAATCTAAAATTGTCACTTTGGAAATTTGAAATTTAGACCTAATGCTTAGCAAGTACCTTAACTACTCTGCCATAGAAGTTCTTGTGGTAAATAGTTCTCAAACAAATTAGTTAAACTATTTTAACTTGGTCTCCTCTGCTGTAGAAATCTCTTTGTATTTCATCTCCATTTGATTGTTAACATTTCTAATTTAAATTCACATTTTAATAGGTGAATCCTATGGGTTTAATTGTATAAAAATGATAACTGTTTTTTATTTTTTATTTCTTTGACCAGATTAATTTTTAATTTTTTTAAAAAATTTCTAAAACAAAAATCAAACCAAACCAAACAAAACATTGCATCCCGTCAACATTGTTGACAACTAACAACATGAATTTGACATAATCATTCAAAAAATTCACATCACTAATCTAAGATAAGTGATATTGATTAATTTGAAATCTAAGAGATTTACTGTGAATAAGTCGACCATATATATACATGGACATGGGTTTTGTTTTCAGAAGATAAATTGTCATCGAACCAACTACAATTTAAACAATTAAACACATATGATTAAATTAAAATGTAAATGTGAATTTAAATTAGAAATGTTAACAATTAAATGGAGATGAAATACAAAAAGATTTACACAACAGAAGAGAAGACCAAGTCAAAATAGTTTAAATAATTTGTTTGAGAACTATTTATCACAAGAACTGCTTAGGAATGGCAATGGGGGGCAGTTTGGTTTGATTTTTGTTTTAGAAATTTTTTAAAAAAATTAAAAATTAATCTGGTCAAAGAAATAAAAAATAAAAAACAGTTATCATTTTTATACAATTAAACCCATAGGATTCACCTATTAAAATGTGAATTTAAATTAGAAATGTTAACAATTAAGGCCAAGTTTGGGAAGTTGGAAATAATCCATCTTTTTATCTTTTTTCCATCACATCACCTCTCTACTTTTCTGAACATCTTTTCGTAAAAAGACAAAAAGTGTAATTATTTAGGTCTTCCCAAACAAGTCCTAAATGGAGATGAAATACAAAAAGATTTACACAGCAGAAGAGAAGACCAAGTCAAAATAGTTTAAATAATTTCTTTGAGAGCCATTTATAACAAGAACTGCTATGGCAGAGTGGTGTAGATGCCTGCTAAGTGTTTGGTCCAAAGTTTAAATCTTCGAAGCAACAATTTTAGGCTATTCTTTTGGGGACGGAGATGGACGAGTGGCGTAAGTAATATTAGGATTTTAATTGTTAAAATTGAAATTTTGGGATGGAGATGGACGAGGGGCCTAAGTAATATTAGGATTTTATTTGTTAAAATTGAAATTTTGGGATTTAAATTAAAAAATAAGTGAAATTTTAAGATTTTTTTTTTGTAATTTGTTCAAAACATATTTTATACTTTTAAATGCAGAAAAAGGTTTCCAAACCTAATGAGACAGGATTAAGTCGTATCTTACTAACTCTATCACTATTGTCACCACCATCACTTTATCACCATTGCCGTTGCTACCACATTATTATCACCACTATCACTACTACTAACAATCATTACATCTATTATTTTCATGGACGCAATTAATTAGGAAAAGTTCTTTTTTCTATCGAAATAAATGGATAGCATACTACTTATAAAAGAATAAGGGAAAAAATAAAAATTTTATTTATACATAAAATTTATAGAATAAAGATTGGGACCTCCTTTCCCCCACCCCCTTTTGACCCCCTTTCTTTTTTGATTGGTCACTTTTTCTTTTTCTTTTTCTTTTTCTTTTTTTTCTCCTCCTCCAATCACCACCCGCCACGTATGTGTGAGATATGATGTGACAATGTGACAAGTATGATGTGACATTCTAAAACTTTTACTCTAAAAAAAATAAAAACTCTTTAGTGTTTTTTTTCCTAATATGATAACATGGCAGGTATGATGTGACACTTCAAACTTTTATTCCAAAAAAGATAAAAACTTTTTAGTGTACTTTTTCCTAATGTGATAACGTGACAGGTATGACGTGACATTTAAAAAAAAACTCTTTAGTATATTTTTCCCTAAATTAGTGTACTAATAGGATATTTGTAATGTAATTAATGAGTGAGGTCAATAATAATATCATAATTAGTGTTAATACATTAGTTAGTATAATAATTGGTATATGTAATACCACCGTTTCTCAAACATGACATGTAACACTCCAACATTACGAATATTATATGACACTTTAAAAAAACACAACTCAAAACTCTTTTAATTTTTTTTTGGTTTCTCAATCATTCCCTCTCAGTAAACAAGAATGCCCCACACCCTATTGGCCAGAAGTTTGTTGATAGGTTTTGGCATGAGCAATGGTTGAGGGCCACAAAAAGTGTGGTTCAAATGGCTCAAAACTGTCAAAATAACGTCGTTTTGTGAGGGCCACAAAAAGTGTGGCTGTATTTTTTACGAAAAATGATTACTAAATTGGTTGAGATTAATTTATTGATTTGAGCAAATCTATAATTTTGCCTCTAAAAGAATAACATATGCATTTTTTTCATTAAAAAAATGCTGACAATTAGGGCAAATTACAGTGTTAGTCCTCTATTTTTGGCTATTGTGTAATTTTAATTCCTGTAATTTCAATTAAATTGATTTTGACACTAAGTTTTTTATTTTGACTCAAATTAGTAACTTTATCATTATATAGGAGGCCAATTTCAAATTTTATTATATTGAGCTGAATTTATTTGAGTTCAATTTTGTACATGTGGCTAAGTACAGTTGAAAAACTTATTATATTGAGTTCAATTTATTTGTTTATATTTATTTTGTGCATTTTAAAAATTTTGGAAGTACATTGGCAATTTTTTTTATTTTTAAAATGCCATTAGATAACTTGGAAAGTTTTTGACTAAGTGGCAGTTCTCAAAATGCCATGAAAAGTAACTTGCACCTACTTAGTGTCCTGACATTTTTTAAAAAATGCCATTGCAACTAAAGTTTAGTGGCATCTGTTGGTAAATGTCACGAACATAATTTTTTGTGTCATTATTTTATAAAATGTCATAAAATTGATGTGATATTTATTTATTGAAATGCCACTAGAGCCTTATATGTTTTGTGGTTCTGTGGCATTTTTCTAAAACATTTAATGCCAATTTTTATTTTTGTGGCATTTTCTAAAAACATGCTACTAGTGTAGTGTCACTAAAGTATAAATTTGTTGTAGTGATATTTTTGTTGTAGTGAAGTGACACTTTTTTTAATTAAATGCCACTAGAGCCTTGTATGTTTGTGGCTCTATGACATTTTTCTAAAAAATGCCACTAAATATTCTTTTTGTGACATTTTTTAAGAACATGCCACTAGTATGGTGTCACTAAAATATGTTTTTGTTGTAGTGTTGTGACACTTGTTCATTGAAATGTCACTAGAGCCTTTTATGTTTGTTGTTTTGTGGCATTTTTCAAAAACGTGTCACTAAATATCATTTTTGTGGCATTTTTTAAAAATATGCCACTAGTGTAGTGTCACTAAAGTATGTTTTTGTTGTAGTTTTGTGACACTTGTTCATTGAAATGTCACTAGAGCCTTTTATGTTTGTTGTTTTGTGGCATTTTTCCAAAACGTGCCACTAAATATCATTTTTGTGTCATTTTCTAAAAATATGCCACTAGTGTAGTGCCTCTAAAGTATGTTTTTGTTGTAGTTTTGTGACACTTGTTCATTGAAATGTCACTAGAGCCTTTTATGTTTGTCGTTTTGTGGCATTTTTTTAAAAACGTGCCACTAAATATCATTTTTTGTGGCATTTTCTAAAAATATGCCACTATTGTAGTGCCACTAAAGTATGTTTTTGTTGTAGTTTTGTGACACTTGTTCATTGAAATGTCACTAGAGCCTTTTATGTTTGTTGTTTTGTGGCATTTTTCAAAAACGTGCCACTAAATATCATTTTTGTGGCATTTTCTAAAAATATGCCACTAGTGTAGTGCCACTAAAGTATGTTTTTGTTGTAGTTTTGTGGCACTTGTTCATTGAAATGTCACTAGAGCCTTTTATGTTTGTCGTTTTGTGGCATTTTTCAAAAAAGTGCCACTAAATATCATTTTTTGTGGCATTTTTTAAAAATATGCCACTAGTGTAGTGCCACTAAAGTATGTTTTTGTTGTAGTGGAAAACCCATGCATTTGGGTTGGGTCTCCATGGATACCCACAGGGTAGGTTATCCATTGCCATCCCTAGAACTGCTATGGCAGAGTGGTGTAGATGCCTGCTAAGTGTTTGGTCCAAAGTTTAAATCTTCGAAGCAACAATTTTAGGCTATTCTTTTGGGGACGGGGATGGAGATGGACGAGGGGGTAAGTAATATTAGGATTTTAATTGTTAAAATTGAAATTTTGGGGTTTAAATTGAAAAATACGTGAAATTTTAAGATTTTTTTTTTTTGTAATTTGCTCAAAAAATATTTTATACTTTTAAATGCAGAAAAAGGTTTCCGAACCTAATGAGACAGGATTAAGTCTTATCTTACTAACTCTATCACTATTGTCACCGCCATCACTTTATCACCATTGCCGTCGTTACCACATTATTATCACCACTGTCACTACTACTAACAATCATTACAACTATTATTTTCATGGACGCAATTAATTAGGAAAAGTTCTTTTTTCTATCGAAATAAATAGATAGCATACTACTTATGGGCAATAATAAAAGAATAAGGGAAAAAATAAAATTTTTATTTATACATAAAATTTATATAAAAAAATTGACAAAAACGATGTGATATTATTATTATTGTAAATAAATTCATTTTCAATTGTGATTTGATTCACAATGGTTCGTATTATTATGTATGAATTTCTTTATTTTTATAGTATTACTCGGAAAAAAATATATTGAATTTTTTTAACTAATTATGGGTATTTGAATACAAGCAGTGGCGATACAGATACTACAGTTCCAATAAGTTCAACTCGGTACTCTATCAATGCTCTAAAGCTGAAGACCATTAAAGACTTGGATGCTTGGTATGACGACAAACAACAGGTATTTTAGACTTATACCAATTATTGGCCAATTATGCCAACAGTCGTTATACTTTGGTCCATATATTATTTCAAAAATGCTAGAGGTCCCAAAAATTTTACTAAATGTCTCACATGGGTGTGAGACCCACATGGGACCCACATTGTGTAGGTCCCACACCCAGTGAGATATTTGGTAAAAATTTTGGTAGAATATTTGGGGTTTCTAGCATTACTCATATTATTTTAATCCCTATAATTCTAATTGGTTCGATTTTAATTCTAAATTTATGACTTTGTTTCAATTTAGTTCAATTAATTACAATCGTTAGTATTTTTTTTATATGGAAAATACACAAATAAGCGGCACATGTCATATTTTTAGGGTCAAATTATAAACTTGCTTAACTCGGTAAGTTAACCTCAACTAACTTAATGATAATTTTCAGTCAAAAACCATAACATTTTTATCAATTAGACCAAATTGATACAAAATCTAAAATTAAGTGTTAAAATTGAGTCTATTGAAAGTATAGGGACCAAAATAATACAAAGAAAAAAATGTAAGGACTACCGATATAATTTGCCCAATACTATTATAATTGGGGCAATATAAAAAAATGAAAAAGTGCAAAAGTAATTGCAAATTAATTATAAGTGAGAAGAAACTATCAATTTCATCTATTTAGTCTTAATTTTTTTTTTATTTATTTATAAATTTCCAACTCATTTGATCTGATTAGGGATGTCCGTCAAAATAAGTAATGGTGAAAGCATAATCTAATAGGTAAAAAAGTAATATTATAATTTGAACAACCAAAATCATGTAGCCAAACACTCATCAAATTGATTTTGAGGTGTACTTTGTTCAAAATAATAAGCAGAAATGAGCATTTAGTTGTATAATTTAAGTTGTTTAAATTTTAAAACGACCTTTTTATCTATCAAATTAGACTTTAATAGTTACTGATTTGTATAATTGTCTCCTATCGGATCACATAAATTGAAAACAAAAACTTTAGGAACTAAATAAATCAAATTGATAATTTAATGATGAAAATTTTAAAAATTTGATAATAATTTAAAGGATAAAATTTAAATAATTAACCCTTTAGACATATATGTATCTACTAATGCATAATGATTTCTATTGTGTTTTTTTGCTGAGTTTAGGTTGGAGGGTGGAGCCAAGTATACAAGGGCTTGACATATGTGATAGTAAGGGGAGCAGGGCATGAGGTTCCACTAGATAGGCCAAGGCTTGCTTTTACAATGTTTCAACATTTCTTGAATGGCCATTCCTTGCCTTCTGGGCCATAGAATAACTTGTTATTTGGTGTGGTTGTATGTGCTTTTGTCTATCATGAATCCTGTAATGCATGAAATTCAAAAATAATAATTGATCATTTAATAAAAAAAAAATTATTATGGATATATATATTGCTCTCTTGTGGGTTTTAGTGACGAAATTGTAAATTGTCGCAAAACATCATCATAAAAAATATTCTGTACATGTACAACTCAAGCATGCATACAAAAATTTATCCACTACTGTGTGTGTGACCATATGCATCTTATACCATGTGCAATGAAGGCAAGGCATATATCATCAACTTAAAAATTATTTTCAAAATTTGAAATAAGATATGGCCTAGTTGAAAGTGGTAGTAATAATGGTAATTTATTTATTTTTTCTACTTTAGAAATTAGTGGAGCAATAAGGAGAATCAAAAGAAAAAGAATATAAAAGATAGAAGCATCCAAATATTCTATTCCCCTACTTGGAAGATGATCAAATTCTTGTTCCCATAATAATGCTTCATAAAGAAGCAAAAAAGGACCTAATAATGCCCAAAAGCATATAACGAAATGGACCCTACTTACTAATTTACCAAATTACCCTTATACTTTGCTTGCCTTGTGACACTCCAACACTAATTTGACAATTTATTTTATTTTATTTTATTTTTTTAAGTAGATAAGATTTATATTTGGCTTCGGCTCTATAATAACTATCAAATGACAATTGTTTTGATGATTCAAATTGAAGATATATATTGTCACTACAGGAAAATATAGCAAACAAGACGGGGTTTTTAGCGACGCCGCGCCCCCCGTCGCAAAAAACCGTTTTTTGCGACGGTAACTTCTACTGTCGCAAATAATAGCCTTTAGCCCTAATAATGCCCAAAAGCATATAACGAAATGGACCCTACTTACTAATTTACCAAATTACCCTTATACTTTGCTTGCCTTGTGACACTCCAACACTAATTTGACAATTTATTTTATTTTATTTTATTTTTTTAAGTAGATAAGATTTATATTTGGCTTCGGCTCTATAATAACTATCAAATGACAATTGTTTTGATGATTCAAAGTGAAGATATATATTGTAAAGGCCTCTGTGAAAGTTTCATATTAGCCCCAATACAAAAGATTATTGCTAAATTCTCCTTGGTGTAATATTCTTCATACTCTCTCTTTCAATTATTTATTTATTTATATATTTTTGAGTACATAGAAAAAATCAAAAGTAAGAAACAAGGTTATAGAAGAGATTAGGTACAAGAACCCAAAAGGGGTATTTGAGTCATTCTAAAAGTGTAGTGCTGTAAAGTTTCTTAATGGCTAAGAAGTGTAATTTGGTCACTTTCACATTATGAAAATAAAGTTCCTCAATAAAAAATTGAAAAAGAAAAAAAAAAAAAAAAAAAGGTTTGATGAATACTCTTATGCGGATAAAGCATTTAAGCAAAGGTGATAGAACATTTAGAAACACACACAACAAGCATTAATGTCATCCGTTTATATGAGAAAGCAAGAAGACAGCACCAGGAGAACTGATGGAGGTCAAAAATAGACTGGGAGCAAAGTGGGGTCTAACATGGGCGTTCGGATGGTTTAATTATGGGTACTCAGCTCAAAGTATTGGTCAAATTTTTGTTAAATATTAAATAAGAATCTTTTAAAGAATCAAACTTATCTGATGAGGATTTTATTATTATGAAAATATAAACAACTAAAGATCGAGCTAGCAAAGAATTTTGAAGTATATCAGAGTAAGATCCTTACTATGCAAGTAAGAGTTTAGCGTCTCACATTTGTAGGCCCACTCTAGATTCACCATTAGAACGGTTAAAGAAAAGATTATTTGTATAAAAAATTATATCAATCAGATATCAAATTAATGATTTATTTTTAAAATTACTTTGCCATCAAATTTTTTTTTAAAAGCAAACGTGACTAAATTATGTTGATATTGATTTCCGACAATCTAATTTTTTTTTGTACAGATTAGCAATCTTCCACTATAAATTAACATGAACCTAAGCTATCCAAGTAATTATTTGATTATTACTAGCATCTTAAAAGGGCTCTATTTTGCAATAGCGCGTTGTTCATCTCTTCCTTGATCTCTAAACCATCCAATTTGATCCAACTTTTCACCATACAAAAACAATAAACCACGAAGAGGGAGAGAGAGAGGGCTGGTGAACACAGAAGACATTAGAGATGTACAGATTCAGCAACACAGTGATAGGTTTCTTGAACCTATTCACTCTCTTAGCATCGATACCGATCATCGGAGGAGGACTATGGATGGCAAGGAGCACCACAACCTGTGAAAGCTTCCTCCAAAAACCACTTCTACTCATAGGCTTCATCATCCTCATAATCTCCCTAGCTGGTTTCATCGGAGCTTGCTTCCATGTTGCATGGGCTCTCTGGGTATACCTAGCTGTCATGTTGTTCCTCATAGGTGGTCTAATGGCTTTAACTGTGTTTGGCTTTGTTGTCACAGGCAAAGGTGGTGGTGTGGATGTACCAGGTAGGGTTTTTAAAAAGAATTTGTATTTAATTTATACTCTGTTTATTTTGGCCAATTTTTTTTTAAAAAAAAGACCTTTTCTACGGAATTTTTTTTTTTCTAAAAAATGTTTTGTGTAAAGAAAGGGTTTTCAGGGTTGTGATAGCGGCTGATGATTTGTTACAGATGTGTGTCAACCTAATTGGGACGTGTACTGTAGCGTTAAAACTTCTTATTTTTTCTTCTTATTTCCTCGATGTATTTTTTGCTTGAGTTAATAAATTTTTTTTTTGGTCAATGAAAAAAAAGGTAGGGTTTACAAAGAGTATCAGCTAGAGAACTACTCACCATGGTTGAGGAAAAGGATTAAAGATCCTCATTATTGGGAGACAATCAGGAGCTGCATATTTGGTTCAAAGACCTGTGCCAAGATTGCTTATTGGACTCCTTATGATTATCTTGAAAGAAACATGTCTCCTATTCAGGTGATTTTTTAAAATTTTAAAATTTATTTTTGCAGGTGGTAGTAATTTTGAAGTCACGTGAATCTTGAAACATAATTTAATAATATAGTGAAATTCAGAAAAATAATTCAATAATATAGTGAAATTTAAAAACATAAGATGTTATGCCGTTATGAGGAGATTAATGATCATGAGTTGGTGTTTTTATGTCAATATCAATACAGTCCGGTTGCTGCAAGCCACCAACTTCATGCAACTACGCGGAAACGACACTGACTCAAGACCCGGATTGCTATCGGTGGAATAATGCTCCGAACCTACTTTGCTACGAGTGCGATTCGTGCAAAGCCGGTGTGCTTGAGGGTGTGAGAAGAGATTGGCACAAGCTCTCAGTCCTTAACATTGTCATGGTTATCTTGCTCATTTGTATCTACTCAATTGGTTGCTGTGCTTTCAGAAACACAAAACGGGCCGAGACCGATTACCCACATGGCGTACCCCGGATCTCCAAAGTCCACCCCAGATGGGATTTCCACTGGTAAGCAAAAAAAAAAAAAAAAATTATTTGTTTGTTTGTTTGTTTGTTTGTTTTTTTTTTTTTTTGTTAAAAGTATATCACCTCGTTATTCCCTCTAGTTTGCTCAAATATAATTCTCATGTTGATTGTCCAAAATACTAATGAAAAGACGGGGGTGTTTGAGAGAAAAAAAATAGCCTAATTTAGGCTAAAATTTACAAAAACATAAAATAGGTTAAAATAGTTAATAAGACAAAATATCACATCAAACCCATAATCATTTCACTTTTTCTCTCACAAACATCACATCCAACTATAAAAAAATTCAATCATCTTTCCAAACACAAAAATTTTAGCCTACTAAAATAGCCAAAAACTAAAATAGGCTACTAAAATAGCAGCTTCCCAAACGAAGCCGTAATAGAAAATGTAAGGTTTAAATTGATAAAATTAGAATTACAGGAACTATAGTGAAAATTACTCAAATTATATGCAACAAATTTTGATGGTGTTAATTAAGCTAATTGTGGGCAATCTTTCACAACTCTAGCCACCCAAGTTGATTTAATTTAAAATTTATTTGAAAAATGAGATTCACAAGGGGACTAATGAAAAGTAACTCTGTCTCTCTCTCTCTTCTTTTTATATAATGTCAGTGTATGTTTATATATTAATCTTACTGCAAAGAGATAACCTTTTACTTTCTTTTCTGTTAAACAGGTGGAGATGGTGGCATCACAGAAGACACCAGCTTTATTAGGCAATGTGTTTTTTCTTTCCTTTCCTTTTTTTTTCTTCACAACCTAAATCCCAGTTGGTGTTTTTCCTTGTCTAAAAGATGGGACAGTTTTGTTGTTTTTCAGTACTATATGGGCATGGATATGTACAGAAGTAGGAGCTTTGTTTTTGTGAAAATTATTATTTGTTATAGAACTTTAAAAATATATGTATCATTTTATACTTAAAATAGTCTCCAGTATAAAAATATATATATCATTCTTCTTTCATTTTGAATTCTCTTTTTATTTTACACCAAAAAAACTTCTTCGTCGGATTAAAAATTACTTCTATGATATTTAAATTTTTTTTATGTGTATAATATTTATATATATCATATTATACATACATGTGTGTTTTGTGTATATAGTGAAAAAAACTTTTTTTTTTTTAACTTTTTTGATAATGAAATTCTGATTTCGTTCCTGGGTATGGAGTTTTCAAGTAGGGGTGAGCATGGTCCGGATTGGACCGGATTGGGGTAAAACCAAGACCAATCCGTTATCTACGGTTCCTGAAAAATTGGAACCAATTTATTAGTGTATTTTTTTCAAAAGTAACACCGCAATATAAAACATTAAGGGTAAATTACAAACACACTCCCTGATGTTTATTTAAATTATAAATTATCCTGTGATTTTAGAAATTACATTATGTCCCCTAAGGTTTTTAATTTTATAACAAATAGGTCATTTTATTAATAAATCATCAAGTTAATTAACAGTTTTTAATAATGTTAAAATTTTATTTCAATTAATAATTCAGATAATTTTATTATTGTATAGGTGAACAGTTAGAAATTTCACTATTTCAATTAATTCTGTTAAATAAAAAATCCTGACAGGAAAATATTTGTAATTTTTCAAATCACAAGAAACAATTCATATTTTAAGCAAATCTCAATTGATGTATTTACAATTGTAATTTACTCCCCTTTTTAAAAAAAAAAAAAAAAGATCAACCATGTTTGTTACTTTAGTTCTTTGGTAGTGCCTTCAAACATTGGTGAAGATATTAAATGCAAAAAAATTTGGTGTATTCAGAAAAGTTACTCAAAAAAGTAACTTTATGGGCCAAATCCATTGTGATTGTAATCCTCGTTAGCTAATTTTAAATTTATACCATACGATAAAAATTTTAATATTACAAACTCAAATTTATGAATTTAGAATTTATCTAAAAATCAATAATTTAATTTATTTTACTTGTGAACTTCATACTTTATTAATTTAATTTTCATTATACAAATATATTCAGGATAAATTATAAATTGATAAGGATGAATTCATAACATTTTTATAAAAATTTGTGATATTGATCACATCTGTAGCCGCTGGATGTGTCTCCAACAGCTTAGATATGTTTAGATTCCGTCGTTGGCCCATTTGTTGCAAGATCGTGCCAACTAACTTGTAAGAATGTAATGGTGATGACATGGCAGTGTCACGTAAGGACATTGACACATGTATTCATAGAAAACTGATAATTTTAATTATTAATTGATTTGTAATTTAAAAAAAAAAAACACTTGAAGTGCAATTTCCCCACAGGCCTTGTTTGGAGAGTAATTATTTTAGTTAAAAAGTATATCACTCTCTTTCTGTATATTTTTTTTTGTAAAAAATTACTAAAATAATTTATTCCCAAACGACGCCTTATTAATAGGAAATAAGAAATTTTATGACTCGGATCTTGAATATTCGTTTATTTATAACTTTTAAGTCTGCTATTTACATAGTATATTGCCACTCATTTTTAGGTAAAAAAAAAAATGAATCAAATCAAAAAGAAAGAAATGGTGAAAAGTGAGGAAGAAAAAGAAGTAAAAATAAAAACTTCTTATCAAATGAATGAAACTAAACATGAACATGAGGGATTCACTCGACGAGATCCTTATTCCCTTCTATTTTTTTTATGAAAAAGAATGAGGATCTAGACAAAATCAATTAAACAGAAGAGATCTAAACAAATGATAAATTCCACATTCACTAAAACATGTTATCAAAATAATCCAAAAACTAAAAAAGAAATGATTTTGTTAACATGTGCCGTCGAAGCACATGTTAAAATGCTTGATAAGATTTATACATTCTGCTCATTAGAAGAAGAGAAAAAATAAAATAAAATGAAGAAAGTAATGTCTAATTCATTCACTTAATTTTTTTCCATTTTTTTTCCCTTCATATTGGTTCAATGATTAAACTCGGCCTATTAACCTTAAGACCCTAAGTTCAAACTTGAGGGCAACCATTTTGTGCAAATAATACCAAAAAGGTTAGTGTGTACTCAATCTATCCTTCCTAGGCCCCATTAACTCAAATAACCCGAAAGATGATCACAAGGCAAGATAAAGAAACTAATTTTAAATGCTATAAGAAAGCAAATTGAATGATATACACAAGTTTTTGCTATATATAATTGTGCATAGCCCCTACCATTTAAAGAAATGTGTCCATAAAATGTATGTGTATATACAAGAATAAACAAAAGACGAGCATCCAAAGTAAATCTATCATTTTATTCCTCCTTCAAACCATCAGTAAGAGCAGGAGCCTTACAAATAGGGCAGGAATTCTTCATCAACAACCATTTCCTGATGCAGCTGACATGAAAATCGTTATGTCCACAGTTCTTCATAGTTCCAACTTCCTCCCCATCAGCATACTCTTCCTGCCAATTACAATACCAAACAAAATGCTCGCATTAGCTGTGCTTAATTTTAAAACGAAGAAAAAACTGAAAATTTGTGATTATTAGTAATATTCGTGCATGCCTAATATTTTAGCAACATCCCATGGAAGAATTTTCCAAAATGTCTTACATTACATTCATTCAGGTTATGATCAACCAGGTTCAAATGGGTCATGTCATTGTGCCAATGACCTTCTGTGGAATTTGGGAATTCCAAAAGGTCCAAATGTTTACTATTAAGCACAAACTAAATAACACATGTTTACAACAAGAAATATCCTAAAATAAATAATGCTTACTATATGAATTTTTCCATCTAAAAATATCCAAGAAATAACTTAATTCAGTAATTTGAAACTTTATTCGTCTAATCAAAATAGTTCCATCGACTTCTCATATCAACAGCTGCTGCATTTTTACAATCCTGACGCAATTTTAAAAGCAAATACGCAAAACTACATTAAAAACAGGTCATTTCAAGAGCTGATATAGCAAGATTCTCGTCATATCTGACATTCCGAAGAGGATGCCTAAAATGCAAGTTTCTTTAGACACCATTTTCCATCTTATGATAATCATAGACATGTTCATTTTTCGGATATCAATCACAGATGAAACCTTATACCCTTTTTGGGTCACATCAGAGAGGCAAGATACGATAATAACTTACAAGACAGATACAACAGGTTCCTTTTTCATGGTTTAGATCTGAACAGATCTTTGTTTCTGTCAAACACTTTGAAATCATATCTTCAGACAAGCCAGTGTCAACATTCCCTATCCTTTCCCCTAGAGCAAGAAGTTCCTGTCCAAAGCCAATTTCACATTAGTAATAGCTGGGGAAGACTACAAAAATGACTTTTTTAACAGTTAAATTTATCCACCTCATAACTCATGTCATCGATGTCTAGCCTCATGTCTCCATATTGATCGGAAAAATTCCCGGAACTGGCATACAACGACGAGGGATCCATCATCATGAAATCCTACAAAGATAAAAATGAATTCAAGTCACTAGCTGATCATAACTTGGGGTAAATACATAGTAACTGTTGCCCATATCAAAGGACGATCCAAGAATTCATTCCTGTACATGTACCTACATCCTTGTTCAAGAATCCAAAAATTTACTTATTTTATTTTTAATTATATAGCTTAATTAATATCTTATCAATATTTGTTTTTTATTTTTAAGGAGTAGTTCCTATTTTGTATTAGGAATTAGTCTATGTAATAATGTAAAAGCATTAGGTTTTGGCATTGTATTATGAAGCATGGATTAATAATATTGTGTTTTAAGGTTGTGGCTGTTGTGTTAGCATTATGGCCAATTTCTTCTTCTCCTCTCCTCTTCCCCCTACAGTGTTCTACATTAGAAAGGCAAGGCCATGATTGCACTCCCCCCAAGCTCACCATATCACACACTCAAAACAGTTATAACCCAGATCCTTGTAAGATAGCCGTTAGTTGTTGAATCAGCCCTCTGGGCTGATCACAAGGGGCAATTCAATAACAAGATGATAAAGTATGAATTATTAGTGATCTTGCTATAAGTTCCAAACTTAAAAATCTCTAAAATGGGACCCATGAAAGTTAGGATCTTCTCAGCTTTCAACCACATAAATCAACTGGGTTAACTAGAGCATTTAAGCAAATTAATGGTTAAAAATTGCACACACCTCAGATCCAATTCTGTCATGGGAATCCACAATACTAGAAATTGACTGGAATCTGTCAATAGCAATCCTTGACCTTCCATTCCTGTGACCATTATGCCATCCCCCAGCAGAAGGTCTTGAATATCTGGAAGGGTAAGTTTCTGAGAGTGACTGCAGACTATTTTCTGTAGAAGCTACTTCATGTCCAAACTGAGGGTAGCTCGGACCAGCTCTATATGAAGGAATTGCTCTTTGAGAATGACTAGCATAGCCTTCCCTTGTACCCTGAATGGGCGGAGCAGGAAGGTACTGCAAAGACGAAACAAGATTTCTGCTTGAAACAGAACCAGGGTGGCAGCCACTAATCTCTGTGCCACTTCCTCTCTCAAGAAACTGATTGCTCTCATGGCCCAAGCCATTGGTACCTGCAACTTTGCCAAACATCTCTCTTAGAAATATTTTATAAATCAAAGGAAACATAACATACAGTCCTCTAATGATTAATATTCTTGGGAGATTATCTAGAACTAATTAATTTATAAGATTTGAATCTTAATTTAAGGCAGTGTTTGGTTCCCTGGAATGAAGTGGAATTGAATGGTCATTCCATCAAAATATCCATTCCCATGTTTGGTTGACTAAAAAAAAATAAAAATTGCATTGTGATTGGAATTGTCATTCACCATTAAAGAAAATGATCATTCCATAGGAGAGCCTAAGGAATGACCATTCCATCTCATTCCAATGAACCAAACAGAGCATTAATGTGAATTTTAAGGGGTAGAAACAGTAAATTTGCAATTGTTATAAATTCTTCAGACCCAAAAATAAGACATTCACGTAGAATTTGAAGTAAACGAACTTTTCATCCCCCCAGTAAAAGATACGTACCATATCTAAGTTGAGTTAAGAAAAAGAAACTAAACCCCTTCAACTCTAGCTCATACTAACCTGCAGTTCGAATCCTTCCAGGAGCTGAAGGAGGCAAAGTATTAAAGTTCCACTCTGGAGTGGTTTCATCAGTAGCATTCATATTGGTCATGCCTACTGCTCCACGGTAGCTTGATGAATGGATTGTTGAATGGTAAGGATGAGAAGAATGGCTTGATGAATGAGTTCTCATTGGATTGGCTTCCCAATCAAGTCCAGATCGGCTTCTTACATTCCTCACTGGATCTTCACCAGCAATTGAAAGGCTACCACCCCCATAATGAGGCAAGCCAATATGGCCAGAAGGAACATTTTGATAATCAGGTGGTGGTTTTTCCAGAGATAACACAGAAGAACTAGAGGAACTTCCTGCACCATAGAATCTGCCTGTGCTGCCTCTTTCACAGGCTTCAGAAATTGCGGGACCTTTTCTTTTAAATGGCCCCCTTACACTGCCAGTTGCAGAATCTAGCAGACCCCTCTCATTTTCATGAATATTGCAACTGCCATAGTAATTAGAATGTGCATGACCTGCATTATTCTGCGGGGCCAGATATAAGTTTCCAGCAGCTGACGACTGCGGGAAGGGAACATAAGAAGGGCCTGAAAAAGCTGGTTGGAAAGGTGGTATTTCCATGCTGAAATTTGAAGAAGGATGCGGAATGGCTCTGGCTTCCGAATTCCACTGAGAAGGAAATTGTGCTCCACCCCTTAATATATTGTCAATTGGATAAACCAAAGAACCATTTTCCAGAGCAGCAGTCCTTCCTGAAATATAAAATTCATGAGCAACAACTTTAGTGCCAAAAGGATCAATTTATGAAAAACAGATGCCAAATAGTAGTCCAACTTAATTTTAAATTGTCTTTTAGGAAATTCAGACCTTCGTAGAATGGATTACTTAAACTGCTATTTGAATCTAGAAACAAGGGCTCACAGCCAATAAAAGGTCAAATTAAGATGGAAGTCCTCTATTTTTTTTCCCTTGTTTCATTATCATGCCCAAAAATCTGGGAGAGTCCAATAGTTTGTATGCAGGCAACATTGCCTTGCCTGTATGTTCTATAGAAAGATATTAAACTCATTTAACAAAAACAGAAAAAGTTTAAAGATCCAGTACCCATATGAATGTAGGACTGTTCTCCAGTTAAATGATTTCCATCATGACCTCGGTCTGTCACCATTCTGGATGAGTTCGGAAAGTGTCTATGATCCATGGCTCACTCAAAGTAGGAGATGGATCAAGTGCAGGATATAAACCACCTACATGTATGAGAAAACTTTTCTTAGAGTTCAGCAGCACAATTGTTGCAAATGTTCAATCAAGGATAAAAATGAAACATTTCTATCAATTGGTCCTCAGAGGAGGAATGCTTACTGCAGTGCAATACTTTCAGCAAAATGAAGAATTTCCCCCCAAAGAATACTGAATAACACATGAATAACCATTATTCGATATATTAAGCCTTTTTTCAACCAAATTTTTTCACATTTTTATCCTTCTTTTTTTTATAATTATTCTAGTAGTCCCAAAAGGATTGTTGATGTCAAAATCACAATGTTGAAACTTGTCAAACAAACTATTGGTGCAAACTGCAAACGGTTGAAGTATTTCAGCCATCAGACTTAAGTTTGCAGATTGAAATTGCTGACAAACCATTCTAATTTTCAGCGTGCTACCTTTTGCAGATCCAGACGCAAAAAGTTTTAAAGACAACTAAAACACCTCCCTACATCAAGGGTGACGGAAAATGACACACAAATCACACACACAATTGTGCGCACCACACATGCACTCAAAAGAACAAGAGGGAAGGTGGAATTACTGTGCCATCAATTATTAATACAAAAACAGCATCACCTGGTGATGAAACCTTATTGTGAAGGTAGTTAAATTCTACCACCTCCACTAGCTCTGTAAGTAGCAATCTAAGGGATAATAGAGCTTCAAGGATCCAATGATCACAAAAAATTGTGCTGCATAAAGAATTAGCATTGCTAGTTTGATTGTTATGAGGAGCCAAGTTTCTAGAAACACAATTTGAGCTTACATTATCACAAACAAACAAATAAACTAATTAAGTACACATAGTATAATTTTAATAGGTAGACCACCAACATAAATACCTTAGCCAAAACCTTTGTGAACATGAAGATTGAGATCTTTCTCGAATGCCAAGGCTTCCCAAGGAATAGACAGTTTGTGCTAATAATGCTAAGTTTCCGTCATAAACAGGCAGAGATTAGTTAAACCATGACCTAAAGCAACACATTGGTTTGACACTAAAATCAAAAAAGAGGAGAGAGATCTTGCATCACTAGCTGTAATGGAAAAGACAAACCAATTAAGTAGGCTTTGATTATGCTCAAAGTATTTAAAGGCGAACGCATAACATGGTGCATTTTACCCCTCATGAGACAAGGTGTAAGCCTCAAGGCGTTGAGATGTAAGCATTTCAAAATTTGAATTTTTATATTTAATAAATAAATAAAATAGTTTAAAATAGTAGAAATAAATATAAAGGTGTAAATACTTTCCTCCTCAAAGCATCGAACATTTCACTATAAAAAAGGAAACTTGCCCTCATCGAAGGTGAAATCGACATTTTTAACTTCAATTATTAAGCTTCTAACTTTAGTCTAAACTTTGCTTCTTTTTATTTTTCCTTTTTTTTTGTTTTTGTTTTTGTTTTGGGTCATCGTTGAATCTCATTTTCACTCCCCCTCAAAAAATACCTAAAACAAACCTTTAAATCCAAGTGCAGCAATTATTTACTTGTTTTTTCCCATGAAATATAAATACAGAAGAGATTCCTCATTTTATGTTTAAACCATGTATTAGATTAAGTTTGACAATAGTGTAGCCTAAAAAGCAAAGCCTGAACGCATTTTGCTCTAACCTCACCTTGAGGTAAGCCTCAGCAACACCTTTTAAAACTTTGATTATGCCAAACATAGGAACACGACAACGTAGATGCATGGAGATGCTGGACACAATGATAAGATGACAAGTCTTTTGTAGTTCAATCAAATACACAGCCCAACAAAGTAGGGGCAAAAACAAGGAGATTTTCATTTGATAACCTAGAGGTATTTGGCAATGGAGAACATGTACACACCTCATGTCACTGCGACGCAGAGGCCATAGAGAACAGTAAAGAAGTCATATTCCTGTTTTCGATCTCAACATCAATTCCTTACTATCTACCAAATCACTAAACAAATATGCTGTGCATCTTACAAAGTTTCTAATGTATGCTCATTACTTTGCTTTCTGAAATGAAGTTTAGAAAATCTAACTATTGCTGGCCACTGCAAGGGATCTAATCCTGTTCCAGTGAACTCATCGATATGGTAGACTTATCTTCCAAAGCTTTCCTAAAAATAATTATGAAACAAAATCAAATTAAGGAAAGAGAAATGGAGCATGACCTAGTAAAGGGTCCACAGTATTAGAAAATCATTGTCTGATCAGAAGAAAAAAGAAATTAGTATAATCACAATTTTTATTCAATTAAAATAGAACATGGGACATAAAATAGCATTAGATGCCAGAGTATCTTCCTCATTCTGAAAATGTCAACTATGAGTTTGAACCACAAAATATGTTGTCTCTAATATGCCAATCAGAGGCACGTTGACATATTGAGCACATTTTACAGTTTCGACGGTAGTGACTCGTATATTGTCCTCAAAGAACTTGAACATAAGTCCATATTCTCACAATTGGTGAAAAGATAGAAATATGATCACTTAATATAAAAATATGCACGAGCTACAAGCATATGAGAACACTTCAAAGTCTACCTGATGGAGCATGCATAGTGCGTACAGTACAACAGATTTGAATGGTTGGCACACAAAAGTGAAATGGGATAAAAATGGAGGCTATAACTAAATAGTGGTGAATCTGTTCACAGTGAGTCAAAATAACATCAATAGATTAGGGCAGACTAAAGATGGTGATGAGGCAGCGGCTGAGGCAGCAACAGGCTACAGGTGAGTGGTAGAGAGTCATGGAGTGTGTACTCATTGTTCTGTGAAAATAGTAAAGATGGCAATTATGGTGAACGGTGGTGGTGGCACTGTAACAATTTTGCAATAATACAGTTCAAAAGCTCAATAACAATTGATTTAAGTTTCTTAAAAAAATAAGTACGATTTTCAAATATTATTTATATGCTTATCAATTATAGAGAAAGATGTGGTGTTGGCAATGGTAGTACAAATTGCAGTGATTATGAAAGTGTCTAGGTTTATCGATGTAAAAGCAAAGTTTTGAGCTACCTCAGTATATCAAAGTTTCTAGCCTTCATCCACTATTTAATTTCAAAATAACAATAATAATAATAATAATAAAGAAGACAGATTGAGACTAGATATGACCTGGGGAATGTAAACAACATATGACAATGGACAAAACAAAACATTTAATACCTCAAATTTATCTCCGTTCATAAATCCCATAAAGGACCTGTACAGACTAAGCCTACAACTTTTTTCTTCCTGATAGCTGAACCAAGGGACTAATGAGCACCATAGTGCACACAAAATGTCATCAAGATATGAGAAACTACATAAACGCCTTCTATGAAAAATACCTCCGAATTTTCTCCCTGGAAATTGAACCACGATGTTAATTTGGCCTGCACTGCAGAAAAAATATTATCCCTGAGACAGAAGTAGGCATTATAGCCCCAGCTGTTGTCTCACTGAAACTGAAGGAAAAAATGGAAGCAAAAAGGATGAAGACCTAAACTGAAGGATCCACTATTGAAAACAATGCTGGCAGAAGGGGAAGGCGATACTTTGTGACACCAGTGAAATGGAAAAAAGGTAAGGACCTTAGATGAAGGTTGTGCTGCTAAAACCAAACTTGGAAAAGAATTTGAAAAGCTAATACTCATGGCAACTTTCTGCTATTTCTAACACGTCCACATTCTAGGAGATGCAAAAATTGAAATATGTCCACACCATATCACCAAATATTTTAATCTCTCTCATTCAACACAAGAGTGTAATCCACCAAGCCCAAAAAAACTTGCACACAATGTAAAAATTATTATGTAAATAACAACTAAGGCTGCCCGTTCAGATATGATGTTGCTATATATACAAGGTTGCTTGGTGAAATATACAGATCAAAGGCTACAAAATCAACTACAACACTTGAACACGCCTGCCTCTCAGGATTATAGACAATATCCACACCTCCAGGAGATCCCCAATTCAATAACATGGGCATTCTAGGTGAAGTTCGCTTCTTGTCAGAAGCAATTTACAAGAAAATTTGAGAGTGCTTGGCAACCACAAAAATCCAAGCATTCCTGAAGCAACTTTATGAAGTGGAAACCTCGACGGAAAACAGAAACTTTGAAGGCAAATGGTCAACTAAAGAGGAGGGGACAACAATCAATTGAGTTCAGAAAACTAGGCAATACAAAGAGATGGATGAAGTCAATGAAGAAATTTAGCTCAACCACTTGAAAGTTTCTTACACGTCTTCACTCCTGCCTGAAACCAATAAGAAACTTCACATGGAACCATTTCCAATAGGTAAGATCCATTTGTATTCGCCAGATTTGAAGAAAACCAGATATTCTATCTTGCTCATTTTCCTTACTCCAGCATACCAGTGGAAAGCTGTTAGAAGTAAAGATCAATCTTTCTTCTCCATGCTGTCAACTTATTATCTTCTTAAATGATATAAACTGTTGCAATTTTGACTCACATGCCAACCCCCTTTTCTCCCTGCCAGTAAAATAAACTGTTCCTCTTGTTGAAACCTCAACACCATGATTAAATTTTCCATTGATTTGTGCTATATGATTGATCCAAAATTGTCAGCTACATATGATGAAACACCAAAGAGGTGTTTATCATCATTGTGGGGGTAACTGACTTCAGTTTTTTAAGAGCATTGCACAATACACAAAGTCGTTAACCAATACGATTCAAAAACTAGCGACATAAATTACAATAATCTCATTCAAGAGATTTAATCAGCAATTTCTTTGTTGAACCCCACTTCAAAATGGCATCAAGAGTTCAAATGCACCCCCAGGCCGCAGTATCAAAAAGAAGTATCCAAGAAGTCAACTGCCATGAATTTGGGAAGGCCATCAATAAGCTTTTGGATAAAAGATGTTAAACTTTTCCACCATATTCAAAAGGAATGGTCCTAATGAATAATTATATAAATGAGAATAATCATCAGTGAGCCATGGCTTCTTTTGCAATAAAATGAATCACAGTAACAATCCATATCCTCAGTTCATCATCTCAATACTGCAAGCTCGAATGCTCAAAGCACCCGGTGACATGCACCTTCACATATAGACTACTAAGGCCATAGGATCCTGAGAACAAACTGCATGTCACAAGGTAAGATGGTCCTATTGCCATTGCAATGTTCAATGCGAACAAGGAACTACATAAGACTTCAGCAAATTGAAAAATGAAGTCTCTAGAAACGAACTATAGTTTGCTCTCCTGGTGCAAAGTCAATTTCTAGCACACAATTGAACCTGTTCATATGTTAAAAATCTTGATCGAAAACACAGGATTCAAAAATGAGAATCCTTCTTCTGTAGCTCAAAGAAACCCAAGGTGCCTGCAATGCAATACCATTTATGATTCAGATAAACTGAAAAGAATGAAAGGCTGACTAGCTATATACCAAATATGGCTCCTACAAATGGCTAGTGACTATTCCTCACCAGAAAATAATTAAATGCATATAAGCAACCGACCCGTTAGCACTAAAAAAAGTTGAATGCTACGTAGTTGGAGATTTAGATCATTTTAAAAGCTCTGTAAAAGAGCTTTAGATCCTGGAAGGTAAATGAAGAAATTCAAAGATAAAAAAGGGAAACAGGTTCCATGCAGAAGTATTTACTACTTGGAAAAGATTAATTTGAGAAGCCTGTTCAGAGGAAAATATGTACTCCAAATTGGTGTGTGTAGGAGAGAGAGAGAGAGAGAGAGAACCCATCTAAGAAGTTTCACTCACCTGTCCACGCTGATAACCCACAGTCTATTAAACTTCAAGGCAATGAATGTTCAAACATGTCTCAAACAAGTGACATGTAGAAAAAAGAGAGATATACCATCAATATCCTTGCACCTGCATAATGGAAACCAACTAAACCTACACAAGGATAAGGAAATCAGTGACAACAAAAGCAAATCGCTATCTCCAAATGTTTCCTCCTAACACCCTTCAAAAGATGGTGCAAAACAAGCATGGTGGGAATAAACCTCAATTAGTTCAGCTATAAACATGTCGCAGAACCATAACAAGAACATAGATTTTTGGCATCTTCTGCAAATTGAACCCAGGAAGATAAAGCTTGCTTGAATGACTCTTCAATTCTCCAAAATAAAAATACCCCGTCACTTAAGCTATGCTGTTAAAGATATTATACTAAGATTGCAAACCAAAATCACTTTACACTTTCCAAAGTGCTTTTAGTATTGTTAATCAAAAAGGCTAATGAGACCAGAGTTCATCCTTTTGTAAAGGAGATACAGGTTCTTATCAGAATTTCTTAGTTGCAAGTTGCAGCTAGTGCATAAATATGGAAAAAAAATTATAAAAAATTTAAAAATTGCACATAAAGAAGAATCAATTTTGAGGTTAAAAAGGAAATTTTCATCCATTTTGTATAGTTGATTTCGGGGATGGTTAATCCGTCCTTAACTCAAATGTTAAACTTTGTAGGGACCTTTGAATAGGTTTTTGGTGCTTCTTCTTTAGAATGTTTTATTTATTTAACAAAAGAAAAAGAAAAAGAAAAAGAAAAAGAAAAAGAAAAAGAAAATGAAAATGAAAATGAAAATGAAAATGAGCCAAATAAGTAGATTATTTAAAAAAAAAAAATTCTAAATTTGAGCAGGAATGCATCTTAGCAGCAAATTCATGTACCTCAAATTTCTGTCTCATAATCTTGTCTCTAATTTGGTTCCTCAAGCCCCATTCTAGTCCTCATTAGAGATGCCAAGTTATTATTATTATTATTATTTTTTTCTGCCTCTCCAAATTTTAAATTTCACTAACAATAATTGCAACCTAAAATAAAAATTTACACTTCAAATGCAACAATAATTAATCAGTGACTACATGCAAATATATTAAATGATCGATTTAAACAATATCAACAAAGAAACCAAAATTTCATAATTTCGTTTGCATGAAATGAATATTGCAGGACGTGGGAGGGATAAAAGGAACATAAAACAACTATAACATACTTACATATAAAACCTTGAGAATTAAAGGGTGCAATATTCTGCTTTATCAGTATCTATTTCTTCCACTGATTATAGTTTCGAACCTGTTACTTAAGTTGTACTTCAACTATACAACAATATCAACTAGGAACATCTGGATGCACCTGAAAATTGAGTTGCTACATCTTAACATAAGAAATTTTCTATGAGTCCATCACTATGAATGTGGCCATTGCAAGCAAATGGCAACTAAAATAATTTTTTATTTTTTTTTTTGATAAATGAATTGGCAACCATAATAATAATAACAACAACAAAGAAACAACTGATGTCAATTCATCAGTCCAGCTGTCTTAATGTCATTTTATGATACATTAAAACTGATCATACACCATCTGTCTGCTAATGCACTCCATTCTTTTTTATGGCACCAACCATAATGATGGATGTGAACTATTGAATTCCACATGAATATAGAACAAAACCATCTATTTTCCATGGAAGCCAAGCACCAATTATTCTCGTACACAACAACAGAATTACATCCATAACAAAGAAATTTTCTTTTCTTCCCTTACGGGGATGGGGAAACAAGACTTAACAAAATCATTTAAAAATTCAGTTGATAAAATGGTATTAGAGCAGACAACCCTACGTTTGAAACCCACCACCCCCTTGATTATACAAAAAAAACCTCGGATGGAAGGAAGACCCATTCTTGAGCGGCCACACGTGCTAGAACGTTATGATTTCACATGGATGACCCCCACTCAATAGGGGCCACACAAGCGAGATATTTTTAACGCAAAACAACCTAAATTGCTATCTAAATATTAATAATTAACGGAAAAAAAAAGTCTAAACACTAAACACACGGACAAAACAAACAAGGGCATGTCTTTAAAATACTTAGGCCACTAAAACTAAACTATAATACCAAAAACACTTTTTATGACATCCAACTCAAATTAAACTCGAATTTATCACTATTTTCTAGAGTTGGCTCGGTCCAAATCCATATAAGACAAAAATAAATAAATAAATAAATAACAGAATTTCCAAGCCAAATGAATATATATTATTGCGATCAAGCATCGTATATAAACGCATATATTACAACACAAAAAATTAATAAATAAATAAATCATAAATTGACCGAGCGATGGGAGTCAATTCCAACGCCAATAAGACGCCGTTTGACTTGGAATTTTGCGATTTTTCTATTATTTTATTTCTGATGACTGCTCTAAAACACAATAATAGAAAAACTAGAACATGCACATAGAATCAAGAATCAATCCACAATCCACAACCAACAATAATTCAAAAAATAGCAAAATTTAATTGAAATAGACCTTAATTGAAAGCAAATTGAGAGTCATGCAACAAGAGAACATGAAAATAGGCGAATGATCTATCGGAAAACGAATGAAAAACTATGGCCCGAGAGGACGAACCTTTTTGGAGGTCGATCGACGGTTGAAACCAGCGGGTGAGAGGATCGGACGCTGGAGAAACAAGATCAGAGAAGGGTTTCTGAGAGATTGGGGATTTTGAGGGGTTAGGGTGGTTGCAATGGCGTTTGGTAGAAGAATTGGAGGAGAGAACGGTCTGTTTTATGTCCCAAACGCACCTAAAGAACTCAATTTATAAGAAAGAGAGAGAAGAACGAAAAAATAAAGAGGAAGGTAGAAGTAATCAAAAGTCCATAAATCAATAGTTAAAAAAAAAAAAAAAAAATTAAAAGTTAAAAAAAAAAAAAAAAAAATCACTTCCCAAAATAGGTTAAAATTGTAAAAAAAATATATGTTTTAGAAAATTTAATATTTTATTTAAACCAACAAAACCCTATTTAAAGTTCGTTTGATAAATGATTTTTTAAATAATTTTTAATTTTTTTATATAAAGACATAAAAAAAAGAGTAGAATAAATTATTTGACAATTTATAATTTTACTTTCCTAACAAGGCCTTGGTCACGCATTTAATATAAATTTACAAAAATATTAAAGATCTCAAATAAATTATTAAATATTCTACAGAATACTCAACGTGAAATTCACATATTTAGTAACTTATTTTGCATCTATAACATTGCTCATAAATTTATTATGTTTACTTTTCTTAGGTTCTTATTTCCCAATGACAACATGATTAAATTACAAATTTGGCAAGACAATCCAAAAAAAAATAATAAATAAATAGTACCAAAATAACAATGCATACATTTGGTGCTATTAGAACAGTGGCGATGGGACAACGTCGATAACCACAACAGATGTTAATATAAATCTTGTTTAATTTGATGTAGGTTTAATTTTTCAAACTGTATCTACGAGTAAATTGGTAATTTTTCCTTGATCATAATTCATTTTTTGACAATTTTGTTTTTATTGTTTGTCATTTGTTGTTTGATTATTTATGTGGCCCTTTAAGATTTTATTGTTTTTAATTTTTATATAGTATGTTGTTTGTTTTATTTTAATAAAATTATACTTCATGTTCAAAAATGTTTTAAAACTCTATTAAAGGAGTTCTAATAGCTCTAATGAGGTGTGGGTCCCACTGAAATAGTGATATTTGTATTTTGTGTTTTTTTTTTATTGACTTTTCATGTTATTATAACTCATTAGAACACTTTGATTTAGAAAGATGTATCATTGTTGTTTCATGTTCTCAAGGGAAAAGAAAAGCAAAGAGCAACTCTACAATTTATTGTTAAAATTTGGCAAAATAGACACAAAGCACATATACATTGTGAATTCAGGCTAAATTTAATATGATGCTATAATATCTGTTAAAATATCATGTCAAATTTTTACCTAATGAATGTTTGACTATTGACTTTTATAATATTGTGATAGAAATTATTTTTTTTGTGAAAAATAAAAAATAATATATTTTTATATATATTTTTTATGAGGTGATGCACGTGTCAGTCTTTTATCACATATATATATATATATATATATAGGGAGAGAGCAATGGAGAAATAGAGAGAGAGAGAGAGAGTGTCGACATGGTGGCAGCGCCCCTTTGAAGTGCCGAGAGGCAATGATTAGGGAGACGCTGGACAAAAGAGTCTGCGAAGGAAAGGGAAGGAAGAAACGTGGGTAAACCCATATTCTTTACTCTCTTTGGTTGCTGTACGCAAACAGACCTATATATTTTGTGAGCAACGATAGAGACTCCTTCTATTTATCATCCCATAATTTTCACAAACGCGTGGCGGATGGTGATTGAAAGAAAGAAAAAAAAATATATATATATATATAACCAATGAAAAAGAGAAGGGCTGGGCTTGTGGAGGCTCACCACGAGTCCCATTTTGATAATCCGAACCATTCAGTGTGTAGAACTCTTCCATTACTATATGCTTGTAAAAAATCACGTTAATCGGATATCGCTAACTACATTATCAAATCAATTTGGTATAAAAATGCATGGTGTTATAGTTAATGGTCTTCCTCATCAAAAAATTACATAAAAAATTAAAAAATTATCATTATTTATATAAAAATATTAAAATTTTAATATATAAATATTAATACAAATCAAAAAATTGGCCCAAATGTTGGTACTGACGTGATGAGTTCAGTCAGTGACAGAGAAAAAAAAATTATAGTAAAATATTCACTAAATCTTAATAGTAAAGTTGGGTTCCTTGGGGCCTACCATAGGTCCCGTTTTGATAATCTGAACCGTTCAGTATGTAGAACTTGTCTAGTACTATAAACCTATAAAAAATCACGTTTATCGGATATCGCTAACTACATGATCAAATCAGTTTTGTATAAAAATGGATGGTATTATAGTTAACAGTTAACAAAAAAAACTAACACGATCGGATAACTATCGATATCCAATCAACGTGATTTTTTACAAGCATATAGTACTCGATAAGTTTTACACATTGAACGGTTCCGATTAGAAAAGGGGGATCCGTGATGGCTCCCATGGGCCAAACAACACCATCCAATCAAAGCCCGAAAATGAGACAATATTTCCTCATCTACTTACCCAGCTGGCTCCTCTACCAATCCGTACGACCTCCTACCCTATATTCTTCTACACACTTATTTATATAAATTTTTAATACACATTTTTTCATAAAAAGTCAAAAAGTGCACTTATTTAGGACACCCCAAACAACTCTTAAAATTCGCAAAAAGATTTGTTTTTTCTTACTAATGCTATGTTTGGATTGAGTGATTTGGAAAGGCAAAAAAAAAAAGAAATGAAGAGATATGTGTTTCTCTTATTTATTTAGATAACTTAACACTCTATTTGAGAACCTAAGAGAAAAGAAAAAAAAATCATTACTTAAGTTATAAGAGAAAAAAAAAGAAAAAAAAAATTGATTGTGATTTCTCTCCTTTTTATTTGGTTAGATTTTATAAGAGAAAAAAAAAACTGTTTTATGTTATATTACCAAAATAACCTTTTATATTTTGTCAATCATTTTATTTCTTTTATTTTTACATGGACAAAATTAGTATTATGAAAATATAAGAATTTGTTGATTTCTTTTCTCTCCCAATCTCTTCACTTTTGGAAAGATTGAAAATGAGAGTTATAAAAAAAAAAATGATTGTGATTTCTCTCCTTTTTATTTGGTTAGATTTTATAAGAGAAAAAAAAAAAAATTGTTTTATGTTATATTACCAAAATAACCTTTTATATTTTGTCAATCATTTTATTTCTTTTATTTTTACATGGACAAAATTAGTATTATGAAAATATAAGAATTTGTTGATTTCTTTTCTCTCCCAATCTCTTCACTTTTGGAAAGATTGAAAATGAGAGTTATAAGATAAATGAATTTTTCTTCATTTCTCCCTATTTTTTTTCACTTAAGATATTTAAACAAATAAGAAAAATGCATATCTCTCCATTTCTTTTCTTTTATCTCAAAATCACTTAATCCAAACATGGTATAAGTAGACAGAAATAGGGAGAAATGGAGAGAAATTCATTTCTCATATAACCCTCATTTTCAATCTTTCCAAAAGTGGAGAGATTGGGAGAGAAAAGAAATTAATATATTCTTATACTTTCATAATACCAATTTTGCCCCTGTAAAAATAAAAGAAATAAAATGATTGAAAATATAAAAAAAGTTATTTTAATAATATAACATAAAATAACTTCTTTTCTTTTCTTTTATGAAATCTAACCAAACAAGAAGGAGAAAAATCACAATCACAATCATTTCATTTCTTTTATTTTTTATTTATCCAAACAAAAAGGAAAGAAATTACAATCATTTCTTTTTTATTTCTTTTTTATAACTTAAGTAATCATTTATTTTCTTTTCTCTCCTAGGTTCCAAACATAATGTAAAAATCATGAACTTAGGCTACTCTAACACTGCTTTGCAGTAGAGATTGAAACAGATTTGTTTGGCTACAATTTTTACCGCATAATAACAATCCATCATTGGAATTAAGATTGATTTATAATCTCAGATTACTCATGGAAATAAAAATAACAATACTACACGCACACTTATACTGCATTTTTAAAAGAATTCTCCGTCAAGCAGAGTGTTCGTACGCTAATGTTACAAACACAAAAAGCTTCCATAGGTGTTAGAAATAATGCCATAAAGAAACAACACCTAAGAGTACTTTTCTACATGGGAAAACAGCTTGGCTTCCAAAAGATATATGTATAATGAACATGCACGCCAAATGGTCCAAGAGAACAAGTTTCTACGCTATCTTAAGGGTAAAGTAATCACTGTACAAGTAACCGTTTGACAAAACAGGAATATTTTTGTAAGGCAAACACACATGACAAAACTGTCCTTAAGAATCCAGAAAGCGATCCAACATCAAATATTGCACCACCCATTTCTCTGGGATGTTTGGATTTGAAAGTAGGGTTTTCAGGAGTTTATACATTATCTGTGGCATCTTTTTTCGATTCTTCTTCACTCCCACTAGCAGCCAACCTCTCAGCAGCTAATCTTTCTTCCAGTGCTCGAGCGCCCCTTTCTCTGCACTTTCAACAACAAGTGAGGGGCAGTATTGAAAACAATATAATTCCCTGAACCTTGACAATTCACAGACTACAGCAATATTGTTCAAGACATTATTGATATTATTGTTATTAACTTATTAAGGTTCTGTTAATTTCACAATAGCACTTTACTAGACTGTCTTGGCTATGAATCATGGACACCTCTCCAAAGGCCATGTAAAGGTGCCCGACATGTGTAGGACACGGACACGACACTTGTTTAGCATGACAGCATAACAATAGGGAACATTACCTCCTCCTAGAAGCCTCGATAGGGTCAGAACCGGGCAATGGGGCACCACCCAAGGAATAACCCCTGGTTTCATTTGAAGTTTCAGATCTTCCACACAGCATCCGATCAAATATTGAAGCAATGGGATCAATAACTGGTCTGCATGCAATCCAACAATGTGTGTGTGTGTGTGAGAGAGAGAGAGACGAGCAACTGTTAAGTGTCATTTTCAAACAAATATAGCAGAATACACTACATTACCTTAAAAATTCAGGGAAGAATGTGGAAAATGCAAATTCATCACTTGGATCACCCCTCAATTTTGTTTCTGGTTTCTTCTGTAGATATCTAAGGTAAATCCAGCTCAGATATGTTCCAAATATTAATGTTGGAAGGTATGTTGTTGACTCTGCTGTATAGATGCTTATAATAATGGACAACAATAGTGCGAGAGAAGGCAGCCACTGCATAGAGTCAGAAACAATGCCTCAGAGGTGGTGTTGGGGGACATTTTCAAATCACCAAATTTCATATAGATGGCATCTGAAGGTGCAATCTGACCCCATAATTTCTGTTAAAATCTCCATACCTTTGCTTTTATTCTCAACAAAGACAGCTCTTGATCAGGTATGATTTGCTTAATGCCCACTAAGAATCCAGAGAGGACCCCGTGGAAGCCGGAAAGACGCATGTAACTACCAAAAACAGAACATCAAGAAAATAAGAATTAACCTGATGCTGATGTGGCAGAAAATGTTCAAAAAGTGTGCAAAAAAAGCAATTACATACTTTCTACGAAGGGGGAAAAAAACAGATTGGTAATTGAGTTGTCGAACAGTAGAAGGATGGGCCAGTATTGTATGTCTGACTTTGTGTACATATTTTTCTTTTCAATTGATGAAAGAGAAACAGACAAATGGAAAGCTAATTGATTTTAAAAACAGGCAAGACAGCAAGTCATGCAAGAAAAGGTTAAAAAGTGAAGCCACATTTTTTTTTTATACCAGAACAAGGACCTCATATAACTTACAGGTAATTTTCCTGCATTGTTATGTAGTACAAGGAAATAGCTGTAACGAAAACACAAAGAGAAGTCAAGAAGTTTACTAAAAAGATAAACTTCAAGAACTCTCTAGAACCCCAAATGGGTTCAAGCAGTTTCCCAATGAAAAGGAGACCAATTGTGCTGATGATCACCTGGAAAACAATGTGACCGTCAAAACTGCCTAAGGAAGAATATTAAAAGCAACAAGACCATTATGAGGAAAAAGAAAGGATTAACAGGCAGTTGCATTTTTACAGAGTAGAAACACATACCCCATGTACTGATTGTTCAATGTAACCAGCTGTTATGAGGTTCCAAGCAAAGGGAATTGTCCTGCAAATAAAGATACAGAGGAGATTCTAAGTCATTCAGCAAAGGGACTGCATGTAAACATTGCTGTCTCTTAAGTTGGCTTACTACAATTGGAAGCTAGAAATATGAAATTTCCAGTTATGTAAAAACTAAAAATTGAATAAAGTATTCAATCACATGCTGCAAACTGCTGACTAAAAACCTACCACCTCAAACCAATTCAGATTATCATGGGACCTGCCAGAGATTCAAGACAGCCAGAGAACTCAGACCCAAAAAAATAAATAAAATGCAAATATAGGTTTGATGAAAAGGCCATCAGTTTCATTTCATCTCAGCTAGCTTACATTATTGAAGAAAATAAGATAAAGCATCTAACTTCTAATATGCTGAATATAAAAGCTTGGACAGTATCAATGGAGAATAGCAGGTTTCCATGATTACAACTTTCATTTACATATCAGTTCATTTATTTACTTGCATAAGGGTATTGAATCATTAGGTTGAATTATTGAAGGATTACAAATACATGTTGATTATGGAAACTAGCTTCTTATCCCCCTAAGGACCTTAAGAAACATTAACATAGTATAATTTAAGCTACCAGGTTACAGAGAAGAAGTCATTGTTAATCTAAACCCTATGAAGCACGGATACTTCAAAAAGGGACACGTATCCGAATCGGATGCTTATCGAATACCAATACTCCTTGGATACTCGCAGATACATATCGGATACTTCTTAATTAATTTTTTATTAATTTCGACGTATCAGATACTCGAAGTCACATATTACTTCTAATACTTTGTTTAATTCTTTGATAAGAGTAATATAGTAAGAGTTAAAATAATAGAATTTGTCAAATTGATGTATCTTTATTGTCTCTCTCACTTCTCTCTCGCTCTCTCAATTTCTCACGTTTCTTCTCTCTGCTCTCGTTCTTTTTTTGGTGTTGGCATGAAAGGATGATGTTTAATTTGCATTTACTTTTGCTTTTAGTTTTGGATGTTTTATGAATGTTTGAAGACGCTTAGCTTAATAAGAATCCCTCTATTTATTTATTAATTTGCTTTAAGTTTTATTTTCATGCATATTACATTATTAAAATTATAATATATTTTTTTTACAAGCGTATCCCCACTGTACTAGTATCCTACTTTTTCAGATTTTGGCATATCGCCATATCCCGTATCCGTATCCATGCTTCCTAGTCTAAACCTAAAATGATCACCATTGAGAATGAAATAGAGAAAGGCTGTTACATGGTTGCCACATGCATGGCCATTATCAATGTTAGAATACTTATTTTTGTTCTTTTGTTCTCTTATTAATATTTACTTAAGTTGCGGGTACGATGGTCATATTGCTATGTTAGGATTTGTATATATATTTGACTGATGTAAAGTTAAGGCACAATGATTATTCAATATATATAAAATTTCTCTTTCTTCTTCTTCTTTTTCTTCTTCTTCCTCCTAAATCCCAACCCTAAATTCCTTCATTTTACATTTTAGAACAATCTATTCTTCATCAGAAAGGTTTCTACAGACTCTGGAGATGATCTGAGGTGACCGAGATGTGCTAATATCATCAGTCGTATGATGACGTTAGCATGACGTAAAAACTGTACGGACGGGTCCTTCACCCCTAGACTCGAAATTGCCTCCTGAGATTTATGGTAATTTTTGTGAAATTTTTTGATTATCCCTAATGTGAGTTTTCGATTTTTGAAAGTATTTCATGTTTTTTTGGACTGTTTTTCAAATCTACTCTTGAGACTGCTTTTTGCTATTTTTTTCTTATTGGAATCTCTACCCTAGGAGCCGAAAATATCAACCCTAGGAGTCCTTGATCTTAATTTGTGGCTTTGCTACTGTTAGGTTGATATTTTGTTCGATTATTGCTTACTTCTGGTCTAGCAACACTGTTTTCTTCATTTCTACCTATTGAAAGTTCCTATATAAGGGTTGAAATCCTTCTAACAAGGGATATTTGTTCTCTATTTATTGATTTCTGCTGTTGAGTTGGTGTGTTGGTCTAATTTGGGTCCAAATTTGGTTGGCAGACCTGTGTTCTCCTCACTCTTACCTATTTTTGCTGTGGATTTTTGTTTTTTGAGCTAGTTTTGTGTCTATATTGGTAATTGTTGGTGCTGATTGTTGTGGGTATTAGTTGTTTGCAAGTATTTTGCCCCTTTCATGCTCATATTGAGAATTGTGTGTGATTGATCATTATAGTTGAGATTGAGGCTAAGGCTATAACTATGGGTAAGGATGATGACATGCCTAAATCTATCACTACCAAGAAATTGAATGGTGCCAATTATTTGGCTTGGGCCCATGCCGTCAAAAATTTCTTACGTGGTAAGAAGAAGTCTCGCTTCATTAGCGAACTCCCTTCTCTTACTGATGATAAAACTCAAAATGATTGGTGTAGTGAGGATTTTGTGTTATGGGTTGAATTTGGCATAGTCTGGAACCACATGTTGCTACTATCGTGGAATTTTGTGATACCTCTAAGGACATTTGGGACTCCCTTGGTGAGTTGTTTTCAAATCAAAGTAATGCCTCTCGGGTCTATGAGTTATATGAACAAATTTTTGCTATGCGTCAATCTGGCCAGTTTCTCCCTGATTATTATAGTAGTTTTAAGACTTCGTGGGATCAGTTACTGCAGTATCGACCTTTCACTACTTATGTGAACAAGCAGAAGCAACATTGGGAGGAGTTTATGATGGCTTCTTTACTTTTTGGCTTAGATCCTGAGTTGCGAGAGTTCAAAGATCAGATTCTTGCCAATGAGACTCTTCTGCTGCCAATGCCTATTCTAAGCTGTTACCAAGGAAGCACAGATACGGATACGACACGATACGAATACAGCAATACGACAAAACCGAAAAAAATAGGATACCGGTACAGTTAGGATACGTTTTTGAAAAATATATTTTTTAAAATTATTAATAGTGAGTTACACATAAGCTAAAGAACGTTGAGAAACCACAATATAATTTTATAATGCAAAATATTAATCTTTAAGAATTTTGTATTAATTTAAGCTAGTAGCTTGTTTACTTCTTAAATTTTTAATAGGTCTTGCAAATATTTCATTTCAATATCAAGTTTAATATATTTATATTACAATAATAGAACAATTCACAACTTGTCCCTATACTTTTTCCTTTGACACTAGTGAAAAATATTGTATTCAAGTTTACTTGCTTATTTATTTATTGATAATTAATTTTACTATTGTTATATTCTCTTATTAATTCTTACTTTCTATGTAGTTATAGGGGACATGAATGAAATAATTAGAATACATCAATTTGATAAATTTTATTATTTAACTCACTATGCTCTTCTTATCGAAAGACTTAACAAAGTATTAGAAAAATATTCTTATTTTTATACTTACAATTATATTGTATTATATTATATTACTATGCAAGAAATGTTACAATTCTAATTTCATAAAACAAGTAAACATGCTTTGGAGTATCTGATACTTCAAAATTAAGTATCCGATACTCCAAAATTAATGAAAAAATAATTAAAAAGTATCTGATACTTTCAATAAGTATCTGATACATATCCGAGAGTATCCAAGGAGTATCGGTATCCGATACGGATACGATACTGATACGTCACCCTATTTGAAGTATCCGTGCTTCATAGGCTGTTACGCTCTTCATTGGGATAAGCACAATCCACTTCTGGGTCCTCTACTTTATCATGGGTCTACTCACGGGGGTTTTTATGGTTCATCTGGTTCCCGGGGCTCTCGTGGAGGTGGTTCTCGTAGTGGTGGCTCATGTGGTGGTTTACGTGGTGGAGGTAGTAGTGGACCTGGTTCTCGTACACGTGGTGATCGCAAGTGTACTCATTGTGGTTCCCAAGGTCATACTGAACCTTAGTGTTGGCAGAAGTATGGCAAACCTGATCATGTCCATCAGGTTATAGATGTCCCATCCTCATAGTCTTCCTTGTTGTCCACTGGCTCGGATGCTTCTCCGGTTAATTCTCATGAGACACTCACTACTCAGATTAGTAAGCTTACTGCTCTTGTCCAATCTCTCCGGCTTAGTCTACATTCATCCTCTATTGCTGCCGTGGCTAGTTCAGGTAATATTGCATGTGTGGCTAAGTCCCCTCAGCCTTGGCTCCTGGACTCTGGTGCTAGTTCCCATGTCTCTGGTAATTCCTCTCTTTTTGATATTCTTAGACCTGTTGATCATACCATTATACTTGTTGATGGATCTTCTTGACCTGTCTGTGGTCAAAGTCCTCTTCATCCCACTCCATCCCTTTCCTTACCTTCTGGTCTTTATGTTCCTAAATTTCCATTTAATTTGCTTTCTGTTAGCCAATTGACTCAAGCTCTCTATTGTTCAATAACCTTTCCTCCTGCTTCATGTGTTTTACAGGACCTCCAGACCAAAAGGATGATTGGCTCAAGGCATGAGAAGGATGGCTTATACTTTTTGGACACTGAGACCTCTCCTTATTCTCCATCTACTATGTTGAGTGCTAGTGTATCTCCTCTTCAGTGGCATTTTCGCTTGGGTCATCCCTCCTTAGCCAAGCTCAAGTTAGCTATTCCGGGTTTGAGTTATGTTTCTTAGATTAAGTGTGAAGCCTGTCAATTTAGGAAGCATCACCGTAGTTCTTTTCCTAGTCATAGTGTTAGTCGTGTGTCCGAGTCGTTTGCTCTTGTCCATACAGATATTTGGGGTCCTTCTAAAACTCCCACTGTTAATGGGTTCTTTTATTTTGATATTTTTGTGGATGATTTCTCTCGGATAACTTGGTTATTTTTAATGAAACAAAGATCTGATTTGCCTTCTATCATCTCTAAGTTTTATAATGAAATCTTTACTCAATTTGGCAAACGTATTAAGATATTTCGGTCTGATAATACCTTAGAATATGTGCAATCTATTGTAACTACCTTTTGTGATACTCATGGTATTATCCATCAAACTAGCTGTTCTCATAGATCCCCTCAAAATGGTGTTGCAGAGC